TGGCCCGACGCATACAAATTGCAGCGACGGTGCCAAAACCAAAGACAGTTTGTTGGCGGAGTTCTAATAATATTCAGCCTGATACTAACCGTTTTGAGGCCCTTGCGTCTGCCACATGCACCTCAGGGTTTGCGGTTCACGCTCGCCATGCAGGACAAACGAATGCTGGGCGTGTTGGAGACCTCAGAATCTTGCAACGTTCAGGGCTTGCCATTTCTGGCTTGTCCAAAGTCAAGCTGAAGCAAATGCTTACACTGCTTGTGCCTGATGGGCATTTTTGAAACTGAGGACTCCTTGGTAGCACTTTGCAAAAAGAGCTAGACTTCGGCTTAGCCAATCGTTCAACCGTTTGAGTGTTCTGATCTTTGGAAGACACAGATCCAGACTTCCAGCCTTTTGGTAACCCCAATAGCCTTTCGATGTCCAAGGCTTCCGCAAGGTTTTCGTTACAAGTCCTAGGCGGATCCCTACGGCTTTTGGTTGCCGACGTTTTTGCTCATGATCCCTTAATTACTAGCCAAGAGTTGGTCATATGGCTGGCTCGACTTTGTTTGAGGCTTGGTACCTTTTTTGTTTTGTGCTTTTAGGGGAAAACAATTCCAGGGTCCGCTAAACAAGACACATATAGTTTTTATTGATACTCGGGGATCACACCGAACGGGCAATTTCCCCGCTTGCTGTTGACTTTTGTGGAACAAGTATATAAGAAGATGCCGGGAACAGCATGCGATGCACAAATCCTTAAGAAGGCTTGTGGGCAAGATCCATTTCCGAGCAACTCCTATTGCTGAACGGCAGGGGAGTTCAAGACCAATCCAGTTTGAAGATTTGTTGTGTATAGGAGGGTTGTTTTCATAAATGGCAGTGGGTCACCATTTTGGGGTAGGTGCACCACCCATTTTAGTCTATTTTAGTGGGGATTTGGATGTTTAGCGGGGATACGGGATGTTGACCCATGTCCAAATGGGTGTGTCTTTTTTAGGGGGCCTTGTCCTTTGGGTTCCTTTTCGCATTGGTTTTTTGTCGAGTCAGGCACCTCCGGCACAAGCTCTTCTTTGGGCCCCCGTTCTACGAGCCTCGGATGCAAGTCGCAAGATTTGTTTTTCCCACCTAGATTGGAGAGAAGCGCGGCAAACCGAAAAGCCTCAGGCCAACAACCGGTTGAAATTACACCCTGTGGCGCAGTGGCCACTAGACGAGGGTGGCTCTTTTTGGGGAGTAGTTGAATGGGAAACCAAAGGGAAACTCCCCGTGTTGGATGGGAAGCCAAATTCAACCCCCTAGCATGTGGGGAATGTGTTAACATGGGGGGGGACCCCACGGATGGTGTTCCTTGCTTCCTTTATGTATGTATGTATGTATGTATGTATATATATATCTAATATACGCATATGCAGACTGACATCCTGATTCCAGATTCCACATTACTGCCATTATTGTGATTATCATTATTGCTATCATGATCATCAGGCTCATCATAGTTTATCATGATTGGCGTTGTTTGTTTGTTATATGTTAAGGGCGCTTGTCAAGTTTGACCCCACCATGGCAGTACCATAAATCATATCAACAATCAACAATACTGATAGCAACAATATTAATAAACATAATGGTACCGTGATGAATAATAGAAGCACGTAATAATAACTAATAATCATAATATTGCCGGGATTCACAAATATCAACTCATACACGGAAAGTAATAAACAAATATTAACTTGTTTCCTTTACATATAATATGTGCAATATGTACGTGTATATGTATATATATATATACGCATATGCAGACTGACATCCAGGTTCCAGATTCCATATGATTGCCATTGTTGCTATCATAATCATTATGTTCATCAGAATCTATGAGTTATGTTGTTCATATTGTTATTGTTGTTTATCATTGCTCCGTCGTTACTTTCTATGTAAGAGTTGATATATATATATATATTAATCCTGGTAATATTATGATTATTATTATTTGTTAGTCATTATTTGGTGCTACTAACATTCATCATAGTACTATTATGCTTATTAATATTATTGCTATCAGTATTGTTGGTTGTTAGTATGATTTGTGTTTCAAAGGTTTGACTCACCATTCTCTTCACCCATCGTTCTCTTTGGAAACCACCCATTTTCGAGGGTTTTGGCCCTTTCTTTGAAGCGAATGATGCCTGAAGAGAATGGGAAAAGTACTGCTATCTTAGAGTGTTATTGCCATGTTGGGGTCAAAATTGTTGGTTTCCCTTCAAACCTACCTGACATCTAGAAAACGGTTTGGATGCGCTTTTTGTGGATTTCACCAGTTCTTCCCCTTGTAGGTTCTTTTTGGTACTTTTTTGGTACTCTTTCAATATCGTACAGGGGTGGATCCACAAAAGCCGCATCTAAACTGTTTCCTGGATGACAAGCGCACCACGTGAGAATCCGTGCCAGGAGATGCTGACAGCCAGGCAGCACGGCGAGCCTCCCTCCCCATACACCGCTCTGACCTCAGCGTGCTTTCCTAGATCGATTTTTGCTTCACTGTTGTTGGACCCCGTGTTTGTTTCTTTTTTGGAAGGGTGGTTGTTGTTTTTTGTGTGTGTATGTGTTTTTTCCTCTTCATGTGTTGCAACCATACTGTTTTGTGAAGGTTGCCCTCCTGTTGACAAACATGACACCCACACGAAGCCCCTCGCTTTGAGGGGAGAAAAATGCGTTCTCAGGGACCTGCCAAGTTGGAGGTTACCGGGTGAGAGGGCAATGATGAGTGTCGAGCAAGCTTTGCGGCTCGCATGGCTCGATTTTATGGCGAACTCACCTTGGGTGAAACGAGCTAAACATGATAAAGGCTCTTTCCTTGGGGATCCCGTATTTCAGGTTTGCAGTTCTTGCAAAAATTGCAGTCGGAACGGAAATGGCTAAATACTGTTAGATGGGCAGTTTGCACCAAATTGGGTTGGTGGTTTATCCCAGCATTCATAGGGTTCCGTCCATTCCAACTGGTGCAAAGTTGATTTTGTTCATGCACAGTAGTTGCACACATTATTCTCTTCCGAGCATGACATACTTCGGGCTAATTCGGTTTCCGCAGAACCCCATTCTACTCCCCTACAAATTAAGATGGACCCCAGGAGAGGTGTCCCCCAACAGGAGATTTCGCTAGAAATGCTGGGTTGTTGGGTTCCATGTGAAAGCGTAGCGATTATTTGCGCCGTGAGCTCATTGAATCCTAGCCGAGGCCGCCAGTTGGCGCCTAGCGAAAGTGCTCCTCTTGCCTTTGAAGCCCCCCCAAACAGGGCAGCCTCGAACAAACGATCGAACGAACGCAAGAAAGCATGAAAGACGGAAAGAAGGACAGAAATAAAGGAACAACCCAGCAACACACAAGCAACTCAGCAACAGAAGCAACCAAGCAGGCAAAGCAAGCAAAGCAAGCAACCAACCAATTAATCAATCAAACGAGCAACCAAGCAAAAGAATCAGCCAAGCCAACACAACCAACCGACCAAGCAAGCCAACCAAACCAGCAACCAAGCAAGCAGACACAGAGTCACGTCCGATTCTCCGAGGCTTGGTACTTTAGCTCCGACCCTGTGGCCAGCTCTTTCCCCGACAACCTTTGGGCCAGGCACCGAGTGCAGACTGGTTTGATTCAGAGGGACCCTCCAAAATGGATTTTGGGGTCCTTACGGTTTCCCTTCAAAGCCTTAACCTAATAACGGGTACCCTGGGGAAACACACACAAACAACAGCCCCATGTTGGACTCGGGCGGACCCGGGTTTCTTTACCTCACATGATGGGTTTTTGTGATGGTTGGTTAGGACATACGGCTCCCAAAATGCCCCAAACTGGGCCAATGCGGGACGAAGGGCAGCTTGCTTTGTGGGTCCACGAAAGTGACGACACATGTGTCATGGTCAAAAGACCAGCTTGCTTGGGGTAGGAAGAATTGGTCATCAGCCTCGGAGTTTGAGACAGAGAAGGATGGACCATCGTCCTTTCATCTCCCAGATCCACTACACGCTGTATCTTAGAAGCTCAGAGAATAGTGAATCCAAGATGAAAAGGAAAGGGAGCGGATGAAAGAGGATTAGATAAGAAACGGCGGTCAAAGGGATGCATTCTTGACATGTTGACGGGTGAAGTGAACAGGTGCCTAAGGACGACTCCAAGAGAGATAGAATGCTCGCTCACTCACCAATGTAAAGGCTATTCTAAGGAACCATGACCATGACGCACATGCGGAAAGTTTTTGCCCAAAGCCACTCAAAGGGCACGTGAGCACCTTTCGAGGAGATAGATAGCCTGTTCAAATCAGGGACCCTAATTTGCCTGCCTTTTGAGTTGTCAAACTGCCTAAGCCTTGTTTGAGCCCCTCATATTTCGAAGTCATTGAAACACACACACACACACACACACACACACACACACACACACACACACACACACACACACCACATACACACATAAGATAGCATGCATAATATGTCTTTGTACGTGCAAGGCGTATATACTAGACTAAGCATACTCCGGGGTTCTTCCGGGCTTCCTATGCGTTTCGCCCCAAAATGCAAACTGAGGAGCCTCCCTTCTGGGACTCAGGCGCCGAGCCTCTTGGCTGCAGCCCAGAGACTGCTGGGTACTGCATCTCAGGGTTGCGATGTGACGAATCTGTGGAACCACCCCTGTGGGAAATTAAAAGAGTACAAAAGGACTACTGGAAAAAAAGAACCCACCGGGGGGGAAAACAGGTGAAATCCACAAGCGCATCCAAACCGGTTTCCAGAGTATCACATGGCTCTGAGATTTAAGAGCGAGTTGGAACCTCCTGAAAAGCGGTGGACATGAATCCCCAAATGATGTCCTCCAAAGGGTCCCTAAAATGAATGCCCAAAGTGAGCCATGAGAAGAGAACAATTGTACTGACTTTGCTCCTTATATGACATGACCTGGGTGATTGAAGGATGGGCAGCTTGGGCGTCTGGTCCCAAAAATTAGATCAAGGGCCTAAAGCCTAAAGCGGTCCGATCATTTGATCTTTTGTTTCATGGGCTATGATGGGCTGCTGGACTCAAGGTTCCAGAGCCGTTTGTTTCTATGGCGCCTGGGGGCGAGTGAGGGAGGCTGCCTCGCCTTTACTCACGGCATCCTGGAGGATTCTTGGTATATGGCCATGGGTCAAAAGCCAAATCGTACCCCCAGTGAACATCCCAATCCCACTAAAATAGACCAACATGGGTGACCTACCCCAAAATGGTACCGATGGATGTGACCCACAGCCATATTTCACTTTTAACCGAAAGCTAAAGAAGGGGAAAGGACGCCTGTGCAGATAGATTTGATGAGTTGCTCCATTTCACGCGTCTCAGTTGCGCACGGGAATGTTCACTTCTTAGTTCAACTGTTTGAGGCGTTTCCCAGTGAACATCGTTGCACTTTCGAGCTCAGTTGGTCAGTATCACCTAGGTTCTCTTTTGTTTGGCGGGTTTCGTTTATAAAATCAGCCACTCGAGCCGCGCGCAAACGCCCCCCGATCAAATTCCCGGGCTGCGAATGGGCCGGAGGTGTGACTCGCATCGAAGATCCTGGCACCAGAGCCTGCGCGGTGCCTGAGGCGAATCCTTTGAGCGATTCCATGTCGGCTCGGGGTAGCCTTTTTGTGGTTGGCTTCAAAGGAAAACCAAGAGGAAAAGTCATTGTTGGGGAAAAACAACCCAGAAAAAAAAAAAGAACAAAAAAAACATAAAAACGAACAACTCCCAGAATAAATCCGCACCCTATACTCAGAGGGTCCCCCTTATTTTGACACATGCCCCATGTTCCAGGGGACCGAACTCTCGCGGAGCTGACCGATTACGGGTCTTTTTAGGGGACCCCCACAAGGGTTGGTTTCCTTTTGGTTCCCCTGCAAAATCAACCGTAAAACGTGTACCCTCAAAAAAGCCACGTCCAAATAGTAGAACGGAGCGGGGAATGTTCGGCGGAATTAGTTCAATGTTTAGAGACAAGCGCAGTTTCGAGGCAGTTCCAGCGCTCGCCCGCCTTCCTCTTTCAGAAGCTGCGAGCTCAGCGAGTAGTCCAGTTGAGGTGGTGCACGGTTTCACGGGTCTCGGCTCCCCAAATTCCAATGTTGGTTGGGGGCAGAATTGATATTGACCGCGGCATGTCACCAGTGGTGTCGGACAACATTCAACCATGGCAGTTGTCAGGGACCCTACCAACTCCCCCCCTTTCAACACACACCCCAACCGGTCAGGCCTTGGGCCGTACTTGGCCTAAGGCTATCAACTGATCTCCAGTAAGCCATGCTGTCTCAGAAACGCAAGCACAAAACGAGCAGGTACCGGTATGTAAAATTCTGGATATGCACCAGACTCCGAAACACCCAGGTCGGTTTTTGTTTTGGGTGTCGATTGGGTCTGGGTTTCTCAGCTCAGGCGCGGGCCTTCGCTTCCCGGAGATGAAGCCGCCGCGCGCGTCTGGTGGTGTCCGCAGCCTCGGTGTGGTTCGAGTTCGAACGGGCGGTGGGCTTCCGAGGGGAAAAAGGAGTGTCCAAAGGAGAAAGGGATGGAAGAGAATGGATGGAATCAACACAGAGGAGGGGATGTCTAAGGAGAAAAAAAAGGAAAAGGATAATTCTCATCCGTTCTTCTTGCGCTTGACTTCTCAAGGGGTTTCTAAGGAGAACAGATGGAGGAAGAGAATGGGGAATCAACCCGCACGCAGCTTCAACTCCCTTTTGGTTTCCCAAAGTCTTGGGTCTTCGATCAAAGTCAGTTAGGCCATGGTCCAGCCAAGGGAACGGTACAAAGCGAGGCTTGATTTCTGTGCTGAGACCTTTTCTGATGCCCGGATTAACCAAATGATTTCTTGGGGTTGCAACCCACTTTGCGGAATTACTTACAACTCACTTGAACGAACCATTGATGAGCGAATCCTTGATTTTTCACGGGGTTGCAACCCACTTTGGTGGGAGTTGCTTCCCTAGCAATCCGCCAGGATTCATGTCCAACCCGGATTACCCAACCATATGGATTCACTCACTTTCGAATGCGGACCTGCTCACCTTTTGGTTGCCCAGTTCTATTCATGTAATCCAGTGTTCGACATGTTTCTGCTGGAGAAGCGAGTTGACGGCGGCCCATATTTGATAGGGATACTGCTTCACTTTTTGGAGAGGCACCTTCCAGATGAATTGCCTTTGCCAGTACCCCCAAGAGCTTTTATTTTCTCGTGTCCAAAATCCCCTAGGTACTGTGCAAAAAGCGGTGTTCTCGTTGCGGAATGCTTGAACATTTCAGCCGTGGAGGGGTGGAGTGGGTGGGTGGGCTGAACGCCTCAGGCGGCAACGACACGTCGCTGCTCTGCGCATCCACGGCCGCTCACCGGGATCCTTTCCGAAGCCTCATGTACAGTCGGAGCCTCAAAGGAATCCGACTGAAATATTGGCGAGAATCGACCTCCATTTGCTGAAATGTTTATATAGCAACGGGCTAGCAGCTAGGACATTTATTGCAGAGTAGTTGTTCACAACAGACACCCTTGTTTTGAAATAGTCTAACTGTGTCGAAATATTCTAACTCGTTTGGTTGGATTTATTCTATCTGTGGGTGTTTGATTTATTCTTACTGTATGTGTTTTAAGACTTTTGAAATGTGCGTTTTCATCTACTCTAAAAACAATATTCTATCTGCTAGCCCGTTAGTATATTGTGATTAAGCTGATCATTTATTATTATTATGATCTGCTGAAAAGAATATTTTTATTTTCCCCTATTGGTTTTGAAGGGAATCTATGACTCAAATGTTTATTATTATTATTGTTATCATTTTCCCCTGTTGGTTTTCACGGGAATCTATGACTACTGGACATATTTTTCTTTATAGGGGGCTAAAGCAAATGGAAGTCGACCAGGCGCAGGTTGCGTTGACAAAGCTCGGTCAAGTTTCCATGCCCTCTGGAGAGACATGGCCCGGCGGAGTCACGCAGTTTGACCAAAGCAAACGGGAGAAACCCTGATTTCTCCCATGTCCATTCTGGCTGACCTTGGGGGTGGACGATTGACCCTAAGGATCATTCAAGGGTTTCCGAGGGATGGGATTTGGCCTCAGTTGTTCAGTGGCAGCAATTCTTTTTCCCCTTTTTTTTTGGTGGCTGCCTCGCTATGCATGGTCTTTCCCAAAAAAAGGTTCCCTTTTTTCCAGGGTCACTGAACAACTGAGTTGCTTCACGGCACGAGCTGCTTGCCATAGTCCTTCCATACGGTTTGCTACTGGTAGTGAGAAATCCACAAGCTTCGTCGGAGGTACGAACCCCATGCTGTTCCGGCGGGAGACATGGGAGCTCCACGTGATGAGCTACATGACGTTGCTGCAGGACCTGATCTTTGCCGGTCTCCGAGGAATGTTCAGATATTGGGTTTGGCGATCTGGAGCTTACATTCCACTATTGTAACAGGTGTGCAGGTACTGCCTTACAACCTTGCCTTGGTGGTGTATAAGCTTCCACACCTCCAACAGCCATACCGGAGCATGTATTGCTTGTAGCTCTGGCATGGCTTGAGTTGGTGCCCAGAAAGACGAGGAAGAGGGTTTGTATGTCCTTGTATTAGTTTTCTTGATGCTCTGTGTCCTGACCCGTTCAAACGCCAGCCTTCATCCTTCAAACTTGGGCTGCGAGTTGTGCTTGGATGCGTGGTTGTGTTGGAAAGCAATGACAGTGGTGCCTGATGAAACTTTATATATGTACCTATTTGGAAAGGTCAGAAAGACCCAATGCCATGGATACCAACTCCTGCACCAGTTGTCATGGATTAAATCTATGAACACTGGGATAAACCACCTGATTTGTCCATCCAAAGGAGGGGAGATGGATAGCCTCCGTTTTGATCGACCAATTATGGCGCTGGAGCAGGACTTGCGTGCCGTGGAGGAGACGCTTACCAGCTCTTATACGCCTGCTCCTCAGTCACTCTAGAAGGGTATGACTTTTTCAAGGTACCCCCCCCAAAAAAAATCAGGGGAAGCCAACAAAAATGTGTGGTTTCCTCTTGGTTTCCCCAACCAAAAGGCTGGTGTTCAAAAGGAGAAGACCAAGAGCTCTGGCTTTGTGCGTCTGACCATTTGGCCACGGCACTTCACTCCGGCGAGAACTTGGCACCAAATAGCCCCAGACTTGGCGGACGGAGGTGAACCAAAATTTGGTGGCTTCTAATGTTTTTTAGACACCAGTTACGAAGATTACAGGTAGGGGTAGAATTAGGAGAACATGGGCCTGAACAAAAATGGAACCCTTTTGGGTTGTCTGTGTGTTTTTCTGACAGGAAACCCAGCACCACAAAAGGGTTCCCTTTTTCAAGCGAAATCACTGAACAACTCGGGGTGTCCAACACTACTCTTTTGGAGAGACTACATTGTATGCAGCATAATTTAAACAATCAAAGTTTAGGTGTACCAAAGGCATTTGCAAAAAAACTGGGAAGTAGAATCAGATGTTCAAAGCGGTTTCATCGTCTCCGAAAGTCGGCCGCCCGCTCCCCGCCTGCGGCTCGGTATCGTCAGGTGGCGTGTGGAGCCCACCTTTGTGCGGGCCTCGCTGAAACGAAGACAGCCCAGCGGTGCCCGCGAAATTCATCGAGGGTTGGGCCCTGGCGTCGTGGAGCTGGCAAACGGTGGAAGTTGGCATTTTCAGAGCCCAAGGTGCTTGAATTCTTCTCCAGTTGCTGAGATTCGGAAACCCCCAAGTCGTTTTTTTTGGACCTGTTCTGTAGTTTGCCGTTTCTGGTCCGGGGTCAAAACCTGTTTAATGATTCACCTCACATGAAACGGAGTCATTCCCATGCAGCTTGAAGCTTGACCAGGGATTCTCCGACCCGTTGAAAGGATGACCAAACAGAAGGGTCGAAGAATGTTCGGTTCCCCTAGTTTTGAGTCTTACTACCTTAAGGGTCCTGGGGATTGGTATGCAGAACCCGGGGGCCCCCGTTGCTTTCAGCATTTCAACAGTGACTTTAGAGCCCCAAACTCCATCAGGACCCGGGTAGTACATCATTCCAACTAGAGGAAATGATTCTAACTAGTAAGTAAATGATCTTAGCTCTCCATCCTAACTTGTCTCTGCTAGTTCATTCTAACGAGGGGAAACCGAACCACTGGACCTTACAAGACCCTGGAAACCCATATGTGACCATTTTGTTTCTGTCCATACGGCTTTCCGCCCGGAGTGAACAAATCCACCCGGAGTGAGCATGTTCTTTTCCGCACGCCCGAGGTGCTGGGCCTCTCCTTGGGGCTTTTCCGGCACCACCGCCTGGACCGCAGGCGCGGGGTTTGCCCGGACCGGCGGACCGGCGGACAACCACGAGGAACTGTCCCCGTCTTGTTTGTCGATTGATTTATGTCTCTTTGAATGCATTCCGTTATTTGGGGAGCTCTTTTGGGTTGCTTCTGTTTGTTTGATTGTCCATTTTGGCGTAAATGGTGTATTTGTTCAATTCTGTACTTATGGTGTTGTTTATTTGTTTCCTGAATTGCCTATTTGTTTAGTTGTTTGTTTATCTATTTGGGGGTGCCTTATTTTAAGCCACACACACAGACAGTCGGGTCGACTTGGCCACTTCGGGGTTCCGCCTGTTCCTCGCGGCCAAGTCCGCCGGATCAGCCTCACAGATCCGAAGGTAGAACGAGCGGTTCAAAGCCGTGATGCGGTGATGCAGGTCCTCGAATCCACAGGGTTGCGCTGGGGTACCTTGACTGCTATTGGGAATTGGATCTTTAGACTTTAACTTTTTGGTTGAATTCAAGTCGGGTTTTCCACTAAACCCACAAAAAGGTAAAAGCTTTTTGCAGAGGGGTCGTTGCAGCAACCAAGGTACCTAAGGTTCAGAGGCGGAACTCCCCTCAAGAGTGGTCGGTGGACATGAATTTCACCTACATGTCCACCAGATCCCGAATCAGAATTTATGGTCTAGTGGTTTCCCTCTACAAGGATTTGGATTGACTTGGAGCTCCAATCTTTGGAATTTTATAGTAGACACGGCAGATTTAGCTGGGTTCAATTTTCCAGCCGAACCTAGAATAGCATACAAAGGTAGACGTCTTGCAGGGGGCGAAACAGCTCAGCAATGCCTTTAAAGTGGTGTCGTGAAGTTTGTCCTCGCTCCAAATGGAGAATCTCCCTTTACATGGGCATTTCCCTTTGGATTCCCTTTAGAAGACCCCTTGAAATTGTTTCTTCAAATGGCCATGGGTCCAAATCCCATACCCCCAGTGAACATCCCAATCCCCACTAGAATAGGTTCTAAAATGGGTGGCGAATTACCCTACCCGAAAATGGTATCCCAAAACGGTTTTGAAATGAGCCCATAGCAAGGGGCCCATCGAAAGAAAGAACCCGGTCACCAACGTTGTGGCACAGGAGTGCGCCTCATCCGGATGATCCATTGGCAGCTCTTTGTGACTTGGCGCAGACGGTCCGCCCATGGCTTTCACGGAACGAGGACGTTTTGGCCTCACGCAGGTTTGGCTCTGGGTGAGTTATAACGACCTCACACGACCGAATTCACCCCAAATGGTGGGTGGTTTATGTGGGGAATAGCCCCTTGGTGAAATATTATAATTCACCCCAGTTTGGTGGGGTAAAACTCCCTCAGGTTTTTTTCATGTTGGCGTCCCTTTCGTTGGTCTGTCTGCGCCCGTATAGGGGAGCTGGGTTCTCATGAGTGTTGGCGGAGAGCCCCAGTCGTTGCAGGCGGCGCCCGCGACGAGCTTCAAGAAAAAGAGCGGAGTCTCAGAGAGGGCTGAGACATCCAAGACCTGCGTGTTTTTCTGCGTCTTATCAAGGGTTGGCCCCCCCTAGCCCTTCTACCGGTCCATGAAGGTTGCCTTTGACATCAACCCGAAGGGTGCATGCCAGTCTTTCCAAGGTCTGGGACATATCGCCGGAAGCGAATGGTCTGTTTACCCTCCCGACGCCACAGATGCTTTTCTAGGTCCCCGAGTAGTGCCCTTTTGCCCCTTTTTTTTCGGGGAGGGTTCCCCTCCTAAAATAGAGAGACAAACCGGAAGAAAGTTGGTGCCAACTTATTCTAACCTCTCAGCTCTGGAGGACCTAGTTGGCTCCCTTTTCACCCAACTGTTCCTAAGCTCCCGGCTTTGAGTCCGGGTTCCCTTTGAAACCCTTCGTCGGGTGATCCTTCGTTGATTTGTGCGGCCAAAGATGGCCTTGGCGCTTCGACTCCAGCAGCTCCTCGCTCGTGCCTTCATGGTGAGCTGCTCGTGCCTGGCGCTCGTGCCTTCCATGCGCCTTATTCGTCCAAGCGGTAGAAAAAGGGTCGAGGACAGTCCCAAGCAGAAAGAAGTGCCAGCAGTGCTGCACTCAACAGGGCTCCGTATGTCTTTCTCTTGGTCGTTTCACACATCGCCCTTGTTGATTTGTTTTCTTAGCGATGTTGTTTTTTTTGCGGGCGGACATGTTGGAAGCCTGTTCAGGCCCTACCCTTCAACTTGCGAACAACTCCCAGCCACTGACGTTGGGTTTGTTAGAGATTCTTTTGGACGGACCCCAGCAAGCAGATCAAGTCATGGGATTGGAAGTGTGACCCCCTGTAGGTTCACCGTTCAGGGAGCCACATTGATGCTCCTCGCAAAACAGATCCGCGAGCACCTTCAAACAGTTGGTGCATAATCATAGATACACATATTACATATGTATATGACACATATGCATGCCAAAGTAAAAGATGTGCAGCAAGGGTCCCCGATCAAAAGTCAGACCCAAACGCCTTACAGACGTTATTTTCCGCTACCATGAGAGTGCACGATGGATGCCCAGCTGCATGTGCCGGTGGCGGAAATCCCTCGGCTGAAATATCCAGGGGAGCTGCTCAGCTGAACGCAGCTGTGTCAATGTGGCCATGGGTCAAAAGCCCGTACCCCCAGTGAACATCCCAATCCCCACTAAAATAGAGGCACCTACCCCAAAATGGTACCATTGGTTTTGACCCACAGCCACGTGGGGGAACTCCAAGATTCCCCGAATTTGGGTTGGTACCAACAAGTTGAGCCCACAGGCGACCTCGATGGGCCTGCCCATCGGTGCATAACGGCTTGGACCTCTCCCATGAAAACTGGTTCCTTCCTAGGTCCATGGGGCATAACCTATGGCTCCATTTTGAGGATGAACATCCGTTTGCAACCTATTTTTATGTTCACCAGGCGGGTAAAGGGTTTTGACCCACAGCCATTTCATGATTGATCAGTAGAATTCATCCAGATATTGGTGGGTCAGTCAGACTGCATGAACCACCCTGGGCTCAAGTGTGGAGACCCCAACATGGAACTCCCGGTGTGTTACTTATCATCATTCAGGCCCCAACCTTCCCAGCACAATTCCTAGAGCTGGTTGGCGCCCTTTTGACTTGCCTCTCTTATTTCCGCACCTTCAAGGGCTCCAACTGGGTTTGTCTCCACGAACCCCAAACTTGGCGGTGTCCATTTGGTTTCCTGTTGAATCCATCCCCAAAAAGGTGCCCTCAAAAAACAGACGCAACAAACTCGTGACACCCAAATGCCCAGCACATGGTGGACATCTAAACTCGCAAAACAAATCACCAACCCCCCCCCCTCCCCCCCACGGCAACGGCCCAAACAAAAACAAGAAGTGCCTTGGAAGAGAAAATGGACCAACCCTTGCTGGTGCTCAGTAGGGAATGATCTTCGGGTTTTGAGAATGAACCCAAAGATCCCCGAAAGGAAACTGCCAGTTGGCCGTTTTCTCGGGGTCTGCATCTCTCGCAGGAACCTTCAACTTCCAGAGGCCCAGGCCCGGCATATGTCACACCCCCCCCCCCCCAGAACACACAAAAAGTCCAGAAGCATTTTCTTGGAAGCGCAAATAGACCAACCGCCCGAACAAACAAATGAGGCTGACGCGGGAGCGGTTCGAGCGAGACTTCGCCGCCAAGAGCGAGCCTGTGATCATCGAGGGCCTCGTGGCCGACTGGCCCGCCTTCTCCGACCCGGAGCGCAACTGGCACGGAGAGAGATGGAACTCCCTCATGGCACCTTGGATCTCAAACCATGGGTGTCATAGGTGTCCTTTTTAGCTTAGTTTGGTTCGAAATAGATGAGTTCTTTAGATGGTTTAGATGGTTTAGTCCATTTTCCAGGGCCATCTATTGTGCCAAGAGGCCGCCTATGTTTTGTTTTGTTTTTTGCGGGTACCCCCGTTTGGTTGGTTTAACGGGAAACCGAACGAATTTTCCCCCCTCAAAAAAGGCCCCCATTTTGGGAGACCCTCAAAACAGACACACCAACTGGTGGTTGCATTTTTTAACGCCAAGTCGACTTAGACATAGGGGTTTCCCGGGTCTAACAAATTTCGCAACAAGACTTTGGCATTCAAGGGAAAACTAGCAGGAGGGTTCAAGAATCGTGGCTTAAAAACGCCTAAAACTCCTGCAAGTTGGCCATGGGTTGATAGATGTTTGTAGTAGCGCCTAGTCCATTGTGATGTTCCAACAAAGCCAGGGGACTCTGAAATGTTGCTCTGCCCAGTAGGTAAACAGTAAGTCTTGACCATGGCTTATACTATTCTTTGCAAACATGTCGCTAGAATTAAACGTCAATGGGTTTTGGGCGCCGCTCAGATTGCAGTCAGTGGTGCTAATTAGGGAACCCACTGCCAACTGGCAGTTGAATAGATTCACACAAATTATGATCAAAGGTACCCAGTCAAACACAATACTAAAGTATGTGCAGTTACGAAAACCCATGGCACCGGTGGGGGGCCCTCCAAGCATATTTCTGTCTATCTCAAAGTAGGGAGTTCCTCTGTGGGGTGTGTGTTTTTACAAAACCAATGTGTTCCCGAGCGAATGCGTGTGGCCCTTAAGCACAGGCCCGCTGAAAAAAACAGAATTCTGTTTCGGCTTGCGAAGGGGGGGGGAGTCAACCAAAGCACCCGTAAATTTGCGACTTTCCCTAGAGGAAACCAAAGGGTGTATGGAGAGGTTCGATAGTTTCGGCCATTCTGACATGTAATATCAGGTGGTTGTCAATTTTCGCAATTCGCCATGCGTTGCATGCTTGCTCAATTGGGCATGTTTCTCCTTTGTTAGTTTGACAAAATTTGACCACCTTTCACGTTTTGTTTTCACTTTGACCTTTGCTTCCATCAATTGATGTCTCATCTTCGAGCACTCCGGCCGCTTTCCACGGTTGTTGGGAAACATTTTTACATGTTTGCTTATTGTGGTTGAGTGGTTGAAATCCAACCACTTAACATTTTTTCTTATTGTGGTTTAGTGGTTGAAATCCAACCACTTAACCTCTAACATTATAATTTGTTGCTCCCCTTCCCACGTCAACCAAGTCCCCAGCCTCTGCGCTAGGCCGACAGCATGCTGGACGTGGGCTTCGACCCCTGCGACAGCCGCATGATGCATTTCGGGGAGGAGAACGAGGCCTCGGTGCTCTTTAACCCCGGCAGGCTGCGGATGCCCACCTGGGCACCTCGGCTTTCGGGTTAACGGCTTGGGGGTTTACGGGGGACCCAGAGACTCCAAAAGGCCTTAATTAAGAAAAGAGCCTCTATTTAAGAAAAAAAGTCTTTAAAACAAATACTTAATTTAAGGATGGATGCCTTATTTAAGGGAATTATTCTTCATTTAAGGACTAAAACCCTTTAAATAAGGAAAAACACCCTTTGAATGTTAAGGCTTAAAAAAAAAAGTTCCCACTTATTTAGAGACTGTTACAAAAATGAAAGCCAAACAAAAACCAACTCCAAAAGCCTCCTTGACAGGAGCTAGGTTTTGCTGGCAATGTCTGTGCGCTTCGCCTTGGGTCCTCATCAGGACCTCTCAGCCCAAGCCCTCTCCAAGCAAGCGTTTTTTCTCCTTTGGCTTCAGCGCAGGGACTTCTTTGGCCCGAAACTTGTACAACACTCATTGTCCAACTGCAGGAGCTGAAAATTTGCCTCCCCTTCTAGTGGCAGCAGCTGCAAGCCATGCCCCATGACCTTTGTCGCGATATGTCCATGTAAGGGCTGGAGAAGATTCATCACAAAGGGGCTCAGCCATGATATGGAATTTTGGTTTGATCCTCCACTGGTTGTCAGGGGTGAGGTCTGACAAACTCTTGTAAAGCAGCAAAAAACTTGCTGCCTGCATCTCGCATGAGCGGAGGCTGAAAATCATCCAAGTGCAGCAAGTCGTAGCGCTCATGCAAGTATGCAGCTGCCCGCAGCAGTCTGCTCCAGCAACGATCCTGCGGCTAGCATTTTCGCGGACTGTGTGTAAGCGAACTTGACTAAGTCTCTGGCCTCACCAGCTTTTGCCTGAGCTTTGGGCTGCTAGATTTTTCTGCTGCGGCATGGTTGGTGTCAGACATGGCAGCCTACTTTTGACTCCAGGTTCTTCCCGATAGTACTGGGTGATTTTCCCAAACAGGCTCGAAACTTTCGCTGCCCATGATCTTCCTCTCCACTGCGTGTAGCCAGTCCCACTTGAATATTGTGGTCTGCGCGCCAGGAGCTGAAAAGAGTGGGCTCGTGGTCTGGCCACTTTCAAAACTCTTTGAGCAAAGTCCCAATGACTAAGACTGTTTGGCGGCTGCCTCCATTCAGCTTCTTGGCTGAAGTCCAACATTGAAGATCGTGTAGCTCGGCAACGCCAGCAGATACCTGTCTTGGTGTTGCGCCTCGGCATGCGGAATATAGATGCCATGATTTGCCAGTCGCCTCTGACTTCCACCAGGAAGCCATGTACCTTAACTACATTGTGGGTTCCTCACACAGTTAAGCCATGTTTGAGCGACTTGAAAATGACAGCTCAAAAAAAGTGGCTTCAACAGGCATGCTTGGAACCAGTTCTTCGCAACAATGCCAGGTTTTGGTTGGTTGTCTCGCCCAAGTGACACCCAGGGGTTTCTGGGACAATCTCCTTCTCCATCCGGAACCTTCTTCTTTCAGGATCGACGCGAGGGAATGTCCCTAGCGCCTCTACTTAAAACGCCCAGAGCGTCATCAAAAGTGGCATGGGTGGCAACAAACCTTTTTGGAATCGCAAACAAAGGAATCCGCATTTCACTGTTAGGCAGCCCAGGTATGTTCAGTGTACTACATTCCAAGGATTCTTCTCTTTGTTTGCAAAGGGAGTTCCATCCAGCCTGAAGCCCAGAGGTATAGATCCCTGCACGCCAAACGTCTCCTCCAGGTCCTGCATGTGCGCCAAGGACGAAGCAGCCATGCGGCTTCTTGATTGCTGGAAAATATCGTCATTGTAAAAATGCAAAACGTGCGCAATTTCGTGAGGGAGAAGCAGAGGCAGCTTGGCCGTACGCTGGCGGTGTCCAAGATGATCCCACACGCGAATGTTTGCCCAGCACAAAGGAGGCCACTTGCAATTCTTCCATAATCTCCTGCCCAAATTTGCGCTAATATTTGTTATCTTTTTTCAATCCAGCCACGCGTGGAAGTGCAGTTGAGGAAGCCCGAGCAGCCTCAATATTGTCTGCCAGCTCCTTGTTTCGTTCGCAGACAAAATGCCACCAGCAAACAACTCTGTGATTTGGGTCCTCAGCCTTTTGGAAGGGTGTTCATCATCCAAGTTTGTTTTCTTGTGAAACATTGCCGACGCCAGCTGGCATGCTTGCAGAAGAAGGAGAATCACCTTCCAGATCTGTAGCCAGCACATGGCTGACACCTTAGCTAACGCGTCTCATAGCTTAACACTAAACCCCCGCACAGACTTGACGCCTCCTGGATAGGAGGCAATAAACCTTCAGATTTCTCCTTGCCAGGAGAGTGTAGTTTGTGACTGCCCTGTGCAGGGATTCCCTTGCAATTCCCATGGTCTTGCGCTTAAACAGGACTTGCAATCCCAATGTTGATTGGATGATCTGCGTTTGAGCCGTTCAAACTGACCCTCCTGCGCAGGAGGTGAAATTGATTCAGTGTAAGCGGGTGAACTACACTTGTTTATATTTGAACTGCTTTTTGTGTAAGATCTCTTTTTCATCGCGCCGGGTGTGCCAATCATGGCTGCAGCCGCAACCCCAAAACGGTCTAATCCAACAAGCTTTTGGTCTCCCTCACTTGGGCCTTCATGGCTTCATCAAGAAAGAAACGCCTGGTTGGAATGAGTTTTCCACTGCAGTGCAAAACGTGCGCACCCACAAAGGGTCCTTGGAGAAGATCTTGAGTGATGGCCAGGACGTGCTTTGCCGCTTGACTAAGAAGTCAAAGACTGACACAGCCGTTACCAGTAACAAGAACTTCTTTGAGAAAAGCCTGACCACGGCTACCACCTAATTACTTGTCTTCCCTCAGAACCTGGCTGGCTGACAAAGAAGACATGACGGTCGACCAGTTCACGGAAGACTCTTCCAAGGGTGCCCACAAGAAGCAGGAAGAAGAAGTTGCTGAGCTCACTGGAGACCAAGGACTCTTTTCCTTTTGCTTCCTTCCAGGATTAGGCCTTCTCACTCTCCTTGTCCTCCCTAGTTTCCTTTTTCATCCACAAGTGACAGTCTGCCAACTTGTACCTCTTCTCTCCGGCTTTTTTGGTGGCCCCTCTCCAAGCAATTCAACTCATACCAGTCGTAGTCGTGATCCAATTCATTCAATATGACCTCCAAGGTTTTGTCTTTGGCATCCATCCTGAAGGCCTTCCCGATGTCAAACCTGGGCAGGGATGTTGAAGGATTGTGCGCGCACACACGCTAGGTTCATGCTCAAAAACATGCCGACCTTTTTTCAATTCTCCTGGAAAGGAGCAATGTGGATGCTTTCTACTGTGTCTACGACAAAAACAAGAATCACAGTATGTGCTTATTTTGACATTCCAGGCCTGGAGCCATGCCCCTTCAAGGACTTAGAGGAATTGGTTGCACTGGTTTCCACCGATTCCTCGTAGCCATTGATTTACTTGGCCGATTTGTCTTTGAGCCATTTTTGCAAAAGCTCAGACTTCAAGGCGCTGAGCGAGGCAAAGCCTGGTACCGCTGAACCAGCTCGACCTTGTCATTGTCGCCATCCATGGTGTTGCCCTCTTTGGCTCTTTTGGCTGCATTCTTGAGGTTGGTTAACATGACACTTTGCGAGCTCGTTTTGCCGCCATCAATTTGTTTCCTCTTCCTGCCCAGGCTTGGCTACCTTGGACTTACTCTTTGCAGAAGCCTTAGCAGCCTTGTTGAAATGAGGACAGGAGCGCGCAAGTAGTTTCTACAAATCCTAATGGTGGTAGATCCAGACTTGGGATGCAAATTGAACACCTGACAGACTCTACAGTACACGAAGAACATCTTTCTCCTGCGCAGGAGAAGGACCATGACTTCATGTGTTGCACAAACACAGCCCGCGACCCTTGTTATTCCCCACACAATGCCCCAAACCTTTTTCCAGGGGAGCAGTATGATAGATGGGTGAAAGTTACAATGTTAAAGCCATGTTAAACCTAACATTGTTTTCACACGGTTTTAACATCAAGTTTAGTAAGGACATCAATTTAAAATCAATGTTTCATCTATGTTAACACCAGGTTAAATTTAACATTGTTTAAACATTATTTGGCGGTTTGTTACTGTATCTGCGCCCCAAAAAGGGTCCATTACAAATGGGGTACGGAGATAGACAAGAACACGACTGGTTTGCAAACATAGCCCAAATCTCCCGACCCGGGGACACACTGAGTTTCACACAAGAGTTTCTTATTATATAACTGTCAGACCACCAGCTAGTTTCTCCTGGCGAGGAGAAACTTGCGATCTTTCCACTATTTTGCAAATGCATGACGGTCTTGACGTTTCAAAACAAATGTCCTTGCCAGGAGACTGTCTGTAATCATGCCACCATATGGGATGCGAGGCCCTTGGAGTTGTTTTCTTGGTTGACAGGGAACAGAGTGGGTGTTCTTTACTGCCTGTTACTGTTTGCAAACCCACTCCTACACAGGAGCATTACCACTAAATTCAGAAGCGGACCAACATTGAAATGCTATAACTGCATGATACTGCCAGTTTTCATTGTTGCTGCCAATCCTCATCCCTGAGAAAAGCGCAGCAATCCAAAGACATCACGGCGCACGCGCTTTCAAGATTGAGACCCTTGAGTTGTTTGCCTTCTTATATGTCATCCAACCATGTTTGAAACAATCCATCAAAATGAGAATTGAGCATGCCATGTTTTTGGGACATGTTGAGAAACAAAGGACTGAAGGCACCCCAACTAGCAAGGATCTTTTGCCATAATGTCCAAATGGGATTAAAGAATGCACCCAGAATAAAGACAACTGGGGGGCCCAAAAGAATTAGTAAATGCACCTGTAATAAAGACAAGCCCCTGCCCCCCCCCCCCCCCGCCCATGAAAAGAAATGTCTCAAAAAAAGGTCACAAACAAGTCTCAAAAAAGCAGAGCAGAAAGAGAAAGGACAGGAAGAAGAGGAGAGATAGCCACCCCTGGTTCTTGGATCTTTGGTTTCCTTAAATCCAAAACTGTCAGCCTTACCAAACCCATGTTTTCTTACATGTCTCTTGTTTAAAACCTGCCCACAATCAAACCCACAAAGAGGGTAGTACTTCAGCCCCCAACTTGACATTATTTCAGGGGCCCCCGAATAAAGTCTTGTTGCCTGGCCCCCTGAAAATACAACCTGCCCAGTGCAATTGCCTCTTAGCTAGTCAAGTAGTTAGACGCACACCACAGCCCTCGTTGAAGCAGACTCCCTGCCGCAGGTACCCGAAGCGGCCGCACGAGCAGCGCCGCCTTGTGAAGCCATCCTCGCACCGTGCCCCCGGAGCCGTCTCCCAAGGTGGACGCACGGCGAGTCCTCCCCCAAAAAGCCTTGCCAAGGTTGTTGGCTGGCCTGCGTGGGCTGCATTGGGGTCTGCCACTGCTGTGTCTGCAAGTCTGCTGCGTGGTAACTTGCGTAGGTTGCACGCATTCCATCGGCTGCTGCATGCTCTGCACTGGCTGCATGCATGGTGCAGGGGCATGTGTGTGGGCTGCTGGCTGTTGCGTGCCAATCTGCTGCTGGTGCGCCAGGAGGCAACTGACCAGCCAGGAAAGAGCCTTCAGCTTGAGCTAAGAACCAACAAGCCCAAAAGCGCTCCTGACCAGGAGCGCCCAAGTAAACTTTAGCGTTGTCTCCTGGAGAGTAGAAATGATGGCTGACCCCGCTTTCAAACCTGCAAGGGCGTAGGCTGGCGTGCCTCTGGTGTCCCATGCTTAGCTCCTGACCAGGAGCGTTGCCTCTTGATGTCGCGAATGCAAAGGAAGAGAAACCAAACTTTTTCCTTCCATCATACTTACTGGGACCTAGCCCAGGCCACCACTGCGCCCTCGTCTTCACCTCTGGCAAGACGCTCGTACGCCTGTTGGCAAATCTTCTTCTTCTGGTCAAAACTCAGATGGGAACCGCTCAGGGCCCTTTAAAGCTCCGTCTTAAGGACCAAGCATCTCCATGTTTATAGTTTACAATAAGATCCTCAGAAGCAGGCGGATCTTCTTCATCAAGAGGAGGGCGATCTTCAGCGTCATGCTCTTCAGACTCACTGTTCGGCCTCGGCTGAAGCTGCCTTAGGTTTGGCAGATGCTTTTCTGCTTGCCGGCTTCAAAGGCGCTCTGGCTGCAGGCTTCTTGAGAGGCGCCGGCTTGCTATCATTGCAAGCCTTCCATGTGAGCTCCGGAATCCTGGTTGGCTGTGCAAAACCATCGGCCCAAGTGGCCAACATGAAGCCATTGCCTAAGGAGACATCTTTGCCGTCTCTTGAGATTCAGCAAGCTAGGCAGCATCTGCCATTTCCCATCGTCCACATTTGTGTTTTGGTGGATGTGGCAGCTTGCTCCTTCTAATGGATATGGGGGAGTCTTGGGGGTGCGGCGGCGCAGGATGGAAGCCGTACATGGCAAAGACTTCCTGTCCGGCGGCGGTGCTGCCCAACAACAAAAAATATCTTTCTCTTTCTTCTCACCGGTGTCGGCTCACTGGGGCCACTGACGTGTCAGAAGGCGCGTCACTCTCCTCTGCGCTAAGCTCGGCAGCTTTGCCTTGCTTTTTGGCAGGGCCTTTTAAAAACCTGGGGCAAGTGAGGGCGGTTGCCCCTTTGCACCGCTTGCGCCACCCGCCACACTTCACGGGGCAACTTCTTCTCAGAAATGCTGCTTTTGGCTTTGGCTTGGCAGTGCGCAAAAGCCTTGTACATGTCCTTGCCAAAGGCAACGGTTTCTTCTCCCGTGTCACCAGGAAAGGCAAGGGCGCTTGCCTTCTGCAAAACCTTCTTGGTTGGCCTGGAAGTCAATTTCAAAACTGCAAGCATGGCCTGGCTATAAGACTTCGCCGCCATGTCCATGTTAGTGTGCAAGAAGTCAGCAGCTACTAGGGTTGACACTTCTGCCCTCAAGGCTTTGGACACGTTGCGAGCATCTGCTGTGTTCTTTGGCCTTGCCATGACGCGGCAATTACCCTCTTGCTCTTGATCCTGATTTAGCCAACAAACGCATGCGGAAAGCGCAGAAAACTGCAAAGCTGTGGACTCCTACACAGGAGACGGCTGCATGGCGTGCACACACAAGAGAAAGGAAAACATGCCTTAAATGAACATGCCTTAAATAGTTAAGCTTTAACTCAACGAGCCTTAAATAAAGCATGTTCTTGTTTAAGGCATTTTTGGAGTCTCTGGGGAGTTTAAAGCTGCTTGAGGACTTGTTTGCCGGGAGTGGGTACTAAAAAATTGGGATGGCCTAGCAGATTGTAGAGATGGGTATGGGTCAAAACTAAACCACTCAGTGTTGTTTTGTTTCTTTTCTCCCCTGGCCACGGGTTCATTGTTTAATTTGGTATTCCCCTACATTTTTGCCTTTTTCCCCGGCCATGGCTTAGTTGTTTAAGTTGGTTTTAGTGTCCCGCACATTCCCATTCTAATTTCTTGAAGCCCCCACAGCGCGGGGCCCTTTTCCCTTTGAAGCGTCTTTTATCCACACCCACCGAAGGTTTTCTGAGGCCACGCTAAGTTCATCTTGTTTCGTGGCAAAGGGCTCCAGTGGTGGTGCATGTGTTGTTTTTGTGTGGGGTGGTTTGTGAAAAAGAGTTTCTTATTTCCCGTGACCACGAGTGTCCATACTTTGGTACATTTTGCTTGGATGCTAGCACTAACTTTTCGCCAACTAATGGTTTTTCATTAAACCACTAAAAGTTAAACTTTTTGCAGGCCAGCAGAAAGCAACCAAGTTACATATATATATATATATATTTATGGGTACACACTGTTTAAGAGTTGCTTGGGCTGCAACAAACAGGTCTTCGGAGGCTGCGGAAGGGTTTCAGGGGTAGGGGTGGGTGGGTGGGGGGCGGGGGTAATTGCGCTCGGTGCCGTGTATATAATTGCCATTCAGCGTGGGCCCAAATGACATCAGACTTGTGCCAGTGTGTTGTTGTCTCACCTATATCATATTACTGTGTCTTGGCCACCAAAAATGTCTACCAGAGGGCGGCCATATACGTGCAAAGCGCGCAGCAGGGTTGGAAGTGATATTTGACCTGCGTTCAACTCTTAATCAAATTACGCCGATATATATATATATATATATGTTATGTGTATGGTACCCCCGCCCCCATGGAGCCAGGTTGTGTGAGTTTGAGCAGTGCATTTCCTTTTTTTTAATGGTTTTTTGCCTCGTTGATTTTGTGGCAGAATGAGGGGGGTCATACATGGTATTCCCTTGTTGGCAGCATCCGACATCACCTTTCTGTCGCCAGTTGACAGTGAAATACTATATTGGGGGCATGTGTCTAGGTATTCTCTTCCAGGTATCCCCTAATTGGTGGTTGGATTGGCAAGTTTGAGCATTTGAAACCCTGGTTCTTGTAGATGACAAATGGGAAGCCCCCCGCAACACCACTAAACCAGCGCTGAGAGGGAAGCCGATTTCTTTTGTACCAGATCTCCAGTGGTTCTTTTGGAGTGGATTTCCCTCTAGCATCAACCCATCAAAGTTCACCTTGTTTGTTTTTGAAGGGAGGGGAGGAGGAGGGGGGGGTCTGAGACAAGGTGGCGTCCAACATCAAGCCGCAGGGTGCCTTTTCCCGAAGTTCTGGGATACGCAGCCACACCAAGGGAGTCCTTCTTCCTTGATGTTGTTCTCTTTTCGCTTTTCCGTTTCACACCCTGAACTTCCAGTGGTGCCTTTCTTGGATTTTCTTTTGGAGGAGGTGTCCCCTCTTTTTTCCTTAAACGTGAGTTTCTTTGGTGGCTCTCAGCCATTTCCTTAGCCTTTTGGTTTTTTAGTGTTTAGTGGTAGTTTCCGAATTTAACCCACTAAAAGTTAGTCACAAGGAGCGGATCTGAAAACGGGCCCAGTTTCGCTTGACCACTCACCACGACCACGGTCCCTTGCTTCGGGCGGAAGTTCCGGGATCGGCGGAGGTCTTCTTGGAGGTGGCGCGGCTGCGCCAGGAGATCCTTCGGCTGCGGCAAGGCGGAGGCGGGGGGAGGGGATTTGACACATCGCCCTCAAAGGGCGCAAAGCCTTGCTTTATCCTTTTTGCATCTTTTCTTTGGTGCATTTTGCCAAGGGATGTTAGGACTTTAACTTTTTGCCAATGGGTTTTTTCCATTAAACCACTAGAAGTTAAACTTTTAGCAGGGGAGCAGAACTTTCTAGGGGGTGATTCCTTTTCTCCATTTTTTTCCAACCATTGTTCTTTTCAAACACCGGCTGTGCCCCCTCGGTTTTTGATGGTTTCCTGAAAAGAAGGATCCCTGGAAAGAATGGGGAAGGTACCCCTAGAATCTTTTGTTTGGAGGGGTGTCCTTTGAAATCTGCAAGCAGGAGCAACTTTTGTTTGGAGGGGGTTCCTCATATTTTACCATGATCAAAGTCACCCAAGTGGTGGGTTAGAGGCAACAATCCTCATTTGTTGACAATTATAACCCCCAGAAACAGTCAACTTCATGACATGTTACCCTTGAAAATCAACAAAGCAAGTGTTCCCCGCTTTTTCCCAGGCATGGTTTGGGCAAAGGGGTTCCTCGATTTCCGCCTTGATCTCCAGCGCGACCAATAGAACCCAGCAAATACTTGAAGGGAATTCCAGTGGTTTTGGTGTGATTCAAAGGTCACTGGTCTTCCCACCGCCACTTGTAGGGCTAATCGGCAGGCCCCCGCAATTCCCCACGTGGTGGTTCGAAGCAACCCTTCGATCAGAACCCCTTCTAACTTCTGAGCTAAGACCCCCCCCCGCATTTCGACATGTTCGCTTGGATCGGAAGGAAGTGTTGACCTCAAAAAGCACCCGGACTTGCAGCGGAGGTTGGCGCGACCGGGTCTCAGCCTGTTCAAAGAGGAACTCGCAGTCGGGCTGGCCTTTTCTCATCGGAAGTTGATCCACGTAAACATGGAGTCCTGACTGACGCAGCCATTGACAGCTGGGACCACATGCCAAGGGGGAAAAAACTGCCAGGCCATGAATTGTCAAGGGATGAATGATCACTACAAATGAAGCCCCATGAACTCCCAACTGGCGAGTTGCCTGACCAATCCGGGGCAAGTTATAGCGCCTTCACTAGTAAATGTCAACATCACGTGAAAGTTCCTTTCTTGGGGGGGTCCCTTCTTTCTGTTTGGTGAATGGACTAATTTGCCACTAACACCAGAGAGTCCCTCAGTAGGTTCTGGCTTGATGCGCCACCAGCTGCTGGGCCGCCAATATGGTCATGCGTTTATTGGACGGCTACATTTGCCGACTTTTGTGGAGCTCGAACAATTCCACCGATCCAGAGGTAGAACGAGCAAAAACCCATGAGATCCTTTACTCTCGGTCCAGTTATTTCAGGTTTTGGAATTCGGGTTTGGCCTTTGAGAACTTGTGAGGCGAGGTGTCTGTTCAGAACATGCCCTTCCTGGCGGTGGATGCGGACGCCCCGCTCGGCCCTCGGGACCCTAAATGTTGCTGGGATTCCTGTCACCCGTCCTGAAAAGGGATCGCCCATTTTTTTTTGACACACAAGACATGGCATAGTCCTCTATACCTTTCTTGGCCTGCATGGCTTAGCCAATCTTTGGCTGACCTTGCCCCTGCCAAACTTGACCCCTTCACACTGCACACACTGCCTCTTGCCAGGTGTAATGCAAGTAAGGGTGTGGGTAAAATGCACTTTGGCTTCCTCAACATTTCCAATGCCCTGCAGCCCTGTACAAGGAAGAGCGAGCCCACTCTCAATGGTGGCCAAGGCAGGATGAGGTTTAAGACAATGCTGGCACTTGGTGCACAGGATCCCTTTCCCAAAGGGCTTCCAACAGTGACCATTCAAAGGGTTTTCAATCGCCCCAGTCAAAAGATCAGCCTTCCTGACCTTTGGCTGCTTAGCAGCCTTGGACAAGTTGACTGTCAACCAGAGTTTCACCCTTTCAGCCAAAAACTTGTTGAGCTTCCAAGCCCTGCTATCAATCCAGTCCACAATACCAGGATGTATATGTTGAGCAGCATAGTCCCCAGCAACATCTGTGCAAACTGCATCTGCTGCCTCATTTGCCTTCCATGCCCACAAAAGGTCCTGTTCCTCTGCTTGCAGAAAAGCGGCTTCTTCCTGGTGGGAGTTTACTTTGGTAATCTTGACATCTCTGTGTCTGTGTTCCCAAATGTCCCTCCAAAGGTCATGGTTGGCCAAGGCATCCTTCTGCACACATTGTGGATGCTGGGTGTTCCACCAGCCCTTGCAAACATATTTAGCATCAACTGCAACTTTGATTTCATTGGTTGTGGCCTGTAACAAAGCCAAGAATGCCCTTGCTTCAGCACGAGGCACAGTATGCTGATTTGCAGTGCCTGTCAACATTCCTGCAAGATATCCCACAACCTGGTGTTGGGAATCCAAGGCAACAACACTCCAAGCACATCTTCTCATTCTAGGGTCATTTGAATGTGGTCCACCACTCCCATCTGTGCCAAACCAATAAAGACTTCCATCCAGTTCGGCCTGAGTAAATACCCCAGTTGCTTGGACTTCTTCTGTAGGCAGGGCCTGCTGGGTCCACTGAACCGGCACCAGACCTCTCAACCAGAAGTACTGTTGCTCTACATCCAAGTGAAAGGGCCACCACATAGCTGGGACTGCTCCATGAGCTGCAATGATCCACTCACATTCATACAGAATATGCTGCAAGGTAAAAGGCCTTCCACATTTAGGGCAAGTTTTGTGTGCACTGTTGCCCTCATGTTGCAAAGCTCCTTGCCACAGAACATGTGCATAGGGTTCCAACCCGTGCTTCTGTGCATACTTCAGGAACTTACCATGGAAGGTTTTGTCAATACCCTGCTCCAAATGCTGTCCTGCCTGTTGTTTGGACATTGCTGCAAACTGTGCCCTCTCAAGGTAGTCTGTCCTCAAAGTCCAATTTCCATCTGGAAGAATCAGGAGCCTGCCATTCATCCCATGTAGGGGCTTTCCAGCCCATGTCAATAAGAGAAGCCTGGGTTGCTGCCAAAGGACCTTTTGCTACCATCCAGGGATAACATCCCGGTTTGGTCAAGGCCTCCCAACTCATTTCCCAAGCTCCTCTTGACTGCAGCACTGCCTGTTTTCCCAATAATCCTGACCAGCTGGCACCACATAGTGATCTGTCCCAGTCTCACCTTGTACAAAGGGTCATCCTGCTTCTTGGCACACATTGTCATAGCCAGCTCAACTGAGCCATGCCCTTTCACCTTTCACCCAGTTATTGGTTTTTGCAATAGCCAATCTGAGTCGATGAAGAGCATTTGTTGGGATACCTTGAGCTTCCTGTCCCCAAAGTCCAGCAGCTTGTGCTGACATGTTGACATATCTCTTTCTCTGGCCTTGGGGCAACTGCTGGATTGCTTTCAAGCGAGCTCTGGCCTTTGTCAATCTCCCATTCCTTGTACCAACCCTTGTCTTCCTTCCCAGTGTATTATCAATACCCAGGTCCTTGATGATCTCCTTGACTTGTGGCCATTCTGGCTTGTCCTTCAAAAGCTTCTGCATTTCAATGGCTGTAGCGGTATCTGAGGCAAGAAACCCAGACTTCTTCATGCTGATTTTGCATCCTCTAGCTTCCAGCAAAAAGAGTAATGGCCCTCTTTGCTGCTGTACCAGGTGTGAATCCATGAACATCTCCACCAATATCATCGATCCAGGTGGTCAAAGACTGAGGCTTACAAAGCCTCTGCACATGTGCCATAAGGGTCCAAAGAACCAATTTGGCCATAACCACCCCAAATGGGCATCCAGCAATGATGCCCCTCTGTGGGAGAATAGGTCGGCTGGCACAGTTCCCTGACTGCAAAATTCTAGGCCCTTTATGCACCTGTATACAAAGGCACAGCACCAGTGGGGGAAAACCCAAACTGAGTGCCTCCTTCACCAACAAGTCATGATCCACCAAGTCATAGAAGTTGGTAAGGTCCAGGAGTATACTTACCTGATGTAAGTGCAAATGTCTAGCCATCTCTCCTCTGAGTAATCTGGTGAGGGCAACCTGCAAACATGTATTTCCTTTCACTGCTGCATCCCAGAAAGCAACCTCCTTGTCTTGCAGAAGCCATTGGTCCACCAAATGCTTTCTCATCCTGCACCACAATCAAAAGGAAATTGCTCGAATCATTCCAAATACACCCCTGGCCAATTAGAACCTTCACGTCTGGGGGGGCTTCTTGGATGCTGTCAAATTCTGGTGCTGCCTTTGCTGTCCTCTTTGAGGAGGTGTCCCTTTAAGCAACAACCCCGAGCCGATGGACCCTCACGCGTCCAAGCGCTTTTTCCCAGGACTCTTTGTTCCGTGTTAGTAGGGTCCCCTGCAAATTTCTTCATGCAACCCCAAAAGGGGTTCAAGAGGAGACTCCTCTGAAGACACGTGGGGTGGTGGGTTCTATGTTCAGTGGAGCAGCGGAGTCGTTGTTAGGCTAGGGAAGCAGAGCTGATCACCCGGCAGCCCCTTTTCATGCGTGGGCTAGGATTTGCCTTTGGCTGGATTTATGTTTGACATCAACGAAATGAAAGGATAAGTAAATCCAGCCAAAGGATAAGTAAAGGTTCGCTGATGAGGGGCAAGAAGACAGGACAAGAAGAGAGGACAAGAAGAGAGGACAAGTAGAGGTTCGAGAGAAAGTGAGAGAAAGAGAGGGAGAGAGAGAGAGAGAGAGAGAGAGAGAGAGAGAGAGTCGCCTGCTTGGTCCTGTGGGGCCAGGGGACGCCCCCTGCACGCAAGAAAGACAGAAAGACAGAAAGGCGGAGACACTGACAAACCCAACCATCATTGTGAAGGATGTGTTGTGTGTGGAAACAATTTCTGTGATAGAACGAGCATCCCCCTGGAAGTGGGAAAGTCTTTGAGATGAGAACCCGACTGGCGCTTATTTTGAAAAGAATTTGGCCACCTGTTTTGGCTGGGTTTCAAGAGGGGCACTGCTATGCAGTTTGCTTCACATGAGTGTTTACCGTCATGTGCCACACATGTGTCCAAACGATGTGACCAGGGTGTCTCCCCTTTGTGACCCAAGCATGTCTCTCCAGGCTTACTAAACCTCATAGTTCGGCTCGCGCCTGAGCGGCGCTCAAAACCCAAAAGGCCACTTTAGTAGGTGGTGCTACCTGGCTTAGTGAAGCTTGTAAAAGCTGTGTCTTACCCAGGTTGACAGAAGCACACACCAATTCGTTTTGGGCGCCTTCTTCGCCTAGATGTGTTGCGACCCGCAAGGTTGCACTTGTTCGCGCCGATGACCTGCTGCATGCGGGACTTGGTGTGCTGGCCTGAGCAACAGGTCGATGATCGCCCCACTAAAGGGGAGCCACCCCGAAAGAAAAGTATGGCCCTCCGTTCAGTGGCGTCTACCCTCCAAATCCACCGTGTTTGTTTAGTGGCCCAATAAAACTTGAACCGACCCCCAAAAGGCTTGCTGCTTTTTTGTGGTCACCCGCATGGTGGGTGGTGTCTCGCTAGAATTTGGAATTCCCCTACAAAACGGGTCACTTGCAACCTTGGCCTCAGGGGCCCCTCTTTAGGCCCCTGTCCTTCTACCTGTCCCACGACACCTATGCATTGCCAGAGGAGTTGCAGAAGGCTCGACTTCTCGCAGGGTCGTAGTTTCGCCTTGGAACTCCGAGACGTTACTTTCCTCCAAAGGCTGTACTTGCCACCTCGAGAAATCAACCGAGACTCCCCGAAATTCTGTCCCGCTGAACAATTTGGAGGTACGGACAAGCCAAGTTGATTCAACGGGTCTAAGGGAACAACTAAGGTCACACCAACGACCGCCCATGAAATTAGTATGGAGTCCAAAATCGGGATCCCCTTAGAGGAGCTTCCTCCAAGAAAGGCCTGGCTAGGTTCTATGTCTTGCAGGGGAGTAGCCTTCCCCTGATGGACCTGAGCTCTCTAAGAGGGTTTCCAGGACCATGACCAATTCGGGTTGAAGAATGTTTGCGGAATGCCCTCAAATGGGAACCCCAGAAATTGGTTTCTATGATATGTACATTGTTTGTTGGGGGAGGGGGGGGTGGGTTGGAGGTAGTGGACGCCATTTGAGAAGCTTCAGTTTCTCTTGAACACATCCCTTTACAACGGATAATTACCACCCCAGTTGTGCCATGCTGAACAGACCCAAGTAGTAGGGTCACTAGGGGATGGTCGTCCCCAAAATGATATAAGATCAAGGGCTCCAGACAATCGCTTTTGAAGATTCGGAACCATGACCTTGGCCCAAGACCGCTCTACAAACTACTGGGTAGGATTATGAAGCCGCTGGCCCCTTTTGTTCGGACTTTTTTGTTGGGTGCGGTTCTCCTTTTGATTTCCACCGAGCAAACAGAGAGGATGTCCGCTTTCTTCAGTGGACATCCAGACTCACCGCCAAGGGTGTTTTCGTTTTCTTTGTGAAAGCAGGTCTGAGTCGGTCTGAGTGATGTCTCTATTAACCATCTAGAACCCACCAAGGACAGGCTAAGCTGCACTGAGGCTCACTTCCGGAGTTCATGAACTTGATACTTTTTGGGAAGACCATCTTAGTGGTAAACACGCAGTTCCTGGACTTGTTTTTGGACCATCCACTCGTTCGGAAGTGAGAAGGAAAAGCTGTAAGTTGGTCATGACCCAGGCGGCCAACAACTGCTAGGTTCCCCCGGTAGTGCCCTTTTACCGTTTCTTTTTTTGGGGAGGGTTCCGCTGAAATAGACAAACCAGAAAAAAGTTGGTACCAACTTTTTCTAACCTGTCAAATCTGGAGGACCTAGACTTAAGTGAGCCCGAACACCCAAGCAGTCAACACGCACGAGAGAGCTGCGAGCCAGGATCTGGCCCCGCAGGCCGTTTGTTTTTTTGTCCGATCGACGAAAGACATGGCGGGGGGGCTGGTCGGATTTACGGGGTGAAAGTAGATGGGCATGTGGCGAAGTGAAGGAGATGACCAGCAACAGTTATTTGTGTTTGTCCTAAGTGAAATCAAGTGGCAGATGGCTAAGTGAACACGATTTTTCTTCGCAATTCCCTGTTGATTTCTGTCATCTTGAATTGTGCATCTAGTTTACGCCGACTGCACCCTTCCAAAAACATACAACCTGAATGAGGCCCCTTGGAATTTGCTCAAAGGTTCAAGGTCATCTCCTTTCACTCACTTCCTGAGCGAGTTCCGTTGCGGCTTCTGTCACTTTTTGGCTTTTGGACCATATTAGCAAGCAAACCACACCAAAAGTTTGGTGACCTGTTTCTGACGAATTGGTCTGAAATTTGAATCTAAGCCAGTTTAGATTCAAGTTGCAGCCTTTTGATTTGCCAGCTGCCCTCATCAGGGCTCCTTAAAAGAGCTTCTTTTTGCAACCATTTGAAACATGTTTTTTTTCTACACCAAAATAAAGGGAAACCACCATTGACAAGCTGCAATGTTCAGGTGTAGTTGTCCCTTGTCGGCTTTGAAGGGAACCTATGACTACTGGACATAGCCTCAACCGTTTCGGACCCCGAAAAGCGCCACAGCGGACGTGAGCCGTGAATTCGCGAGGCTCCGAAGCTGATTGAGGGCTGGGCGAGCAGCAGCCTCAGGCGTGAGAACGTGGAGAGCACATGTGTGTGTGTGTGTCTCAATATAGACATACATACATACATGCATGCATTCATGCATACATACATGCATGCATGCATACATACATGCATACATACATACATACATACATAGATACATACATACATACATAGATACATACATACATAGATACATACATGCATAGATACATACATGCATACATAGATACATACATACATACATAGATACATACATACATACATAGATACATACATACATACATAGATACATACATACATGCATACATGCATACATGCATGCATACATACATACGTGCATACATACATACATAGATACATACATACATACATGCATGCATACATACATAGATACATACATAGATACATACATACATACATACATACATACATACATACATACATACGTGGATACATACATACATACATACATACATACATACATACATACATACATAGATACATACATACATAGATACATACATACATACGTACATACATACATACATACATACATGCATGCGTGCATACATACATACGTACATACATACATACATACATACATGCATGCATACATACATACATACATACATTCATACATACATACATACATACACACATGCATATAATATAACGTGCATGTGTATATATATATATATATAATATGTATAATATATATATATATATATGGGCGCCCAGCAAAATCTCTGGAAGACTAATATGTAAAGGGCTGGACATGACACACCAATATGTGCAGTAGAGCGCGCCAAAAGACTGCAACACGATAGGATCACAAGAAAAAATAAACAATATTGTGCTCGCCCACCTCATTGGCGCCACTTGAAGACTGCTGAAACCTAGGTTTGGGAGGTGGGTTAGTACATGTATGGTACTTATGGTACCCCATTTATTTATTTATGTATTTATTTATTTACTTACTTACTTGCATTTATTGGTTGATTGATCCATATATATATATATGTATTATTGTGTTTCTGTTTTTTTTTTTTTTTTAAATCTTTTCACGTTTTACTTGTTTAATGTAGCTGTTTGTTGATTGTGTACGCACTAGTTCTTGTTTAGGGGGTGCTTCTCAAAATTAGAGGCAGACATGTTGAGGTGGTTGGTTTCCTTCTAGTTTCCCCCCTAGAGCCACCAAAAGGGAAACCTCGTTTGAAAGTATTCATATATGTGGAGGTGTATATATATATATAATATCTATGTATATATCTGATATCTTGATATGCATATATATATATATGTATATTAGGTTAGGAGACCATCCACTTTTACCCAGCATGGCTAAGGTCCCAATGCCTCTCGGATTTGGGCGACCAACGGTGCCCCCTGGCCGCAGCCTCAAAAATTAGCCACTTGCGTTTCAGAAGACTTGGGGTTGTCCCTTTTTCTCTTTTTTTTGGAGTCTCCGCTTTTTCAGGAGACCGAAAGGGGAACCGAAGCCTTTTGTTTATTTGGGTTTGGGGGGGGGTCCTGAAAAAGACACCCATTTGTGCTTCTCCGGCTTTAAAGGGGAATCGATCACTACTAAAAGTATTGCTAGTGGCAAAGGATCGTTGTCCATGACTGAGCCACAGTCAAAACCCGGACCGGGTAGATTAAGGATAAGGGACAGAATCAGCCTTCAAGGGGTGCGGCCGCCTGTTTCATTCTTTATGGATTGGGTAGACCATTTTAATTCCAGCTTGGCTTATTCAGCGCTAGCCCCCAGTCTACAAAAAGGCCCGGAGATCAATGCAAAGGACTACCGACCTGAAGAGGGGGGATTGGTTGACTGAAATTCCATTTTGAGGGGAGGAGAAAAGCGTGTTTTTTTCTTTTCGGGATCGAGTGACATCGTGAAACTGAGCGGTTTCCATCTAAATGGTTCAAACTGCAACCCCCCGGACTCGGTCATTCCCTGCCTATCGCAAGCTTGGCGCAAGGCGGGTGCCTTATCCACCCTGGGGCGATCGCTCTGTGCCGGAGCCTGTCGAGGACGAATCATGGCGCGTTGTTCACGGCGTCTTTTGGCACAAAAAAAAAGCCAACATACGCGGAACCCTAGCGGTTCAAGTTACTTGCAGAAACCTAATTTAACACCTGGGATTGATTTTTCGGAACCACCGCCCCTTCAAACCAAACACTGGGGGGTCCCCGAAAAAGACAAGCCCGTGCCAAGTGTCCATGTCCCCACTTGCAACCATCGTAAAAGTGTCACATGTCCAGCTATCGATTTTGCAGGTGACCCTGGCAACTCAAACTCTTGAGCTTGTAGACCAACTCGGATATGATTGGTTGCTGAATGGGGAAGGACACTGTGAGGGCCTACCCACATGTTGCTGTTCCCATACCTGCTCATGTTCAAATTGTTGTGGAAAGTTCAATGCAGGCTGGCGTCTTTAAGGAAGGACATTTCTTCAAGCGGTCTTTGATGAAACAAAAGGCCGATCAAGTGCCCACGAGGAATGGTCATTTTGTGGCGGCCTTTCGCTTCTGTCCAAAACCACCAGTGGGGTGGACCAACGTGAAAGGGAGGCTGGGGGTTGGGGTGGACCAGAACTCATGTACAAAGGTAATCCAATTGATTTTAGCCTGATTGCGCACGATTGCGTGTGTGAAACGCGAGTTGCTCACAGAGCCTGCTGAGGGGAGGGGGAGACCCAACCGATTCCACCCATCATGAAGGGCTGATTGTTGGGGGGCGTTTAACCCAATTTGTGAAATATTGAGTTATGGTTGTGCAGATTGCTTGGTTGCTCCTCGTTGCAACCTTTAGAGAGAAAAAGCACAATTACTGTTTCACTCACTGTCTCCTTTTTGCAGGGGATCAGTTGGCAGAGTCCAGATCCCGGTTGTACAGTGGCAAGCTCGGACCTCACCGCTTGCGGAGGACTCCATGATTTACAGCTGCTTCCACTGCGACCGGATGGACGCTCGGCCATCCATCATCCATTCGCTCGATTTCTCGCCGGTGGTGAGACGAAAGGCAAGGGGCAGTACCTGGCCTTGGTCTTCCAAGGACTTGCTCTTGGTTGCAAAAGGAAAATCAGCCAAAGGCCTGTTTTTGTGTTTTTTGTTATTCTTTTTTCAGGGTCCTGGAAGATAAAGGTGGGATCGCGTTTGATATTATGTTCAAGCCGCAGCACCGCTGCAAAGCCGAGAACATGCTCATGCGATGCATCTGATCATTTAATGAGCACAAGATGTGTGAGGCCGTCCTCTGGACGGATTCAAGCAGATCCCATCAACCAGCTGTCTAGTGGGTGGGGCCTCCAACAGTGGGGACCCGTCATCAAATTTTCCTGGCTGCGACTTGGGGAATTTCCGTGTTGTGCATGTGTTCCTTTTTGGTTCTGTCCATGTTTTGTCGAGGGCACCTGGGCAAATTCGTTTGAGGCCGGCCCGTCATTCGTTGGTTCGACCTATCGTTTTCCCCTAAACGTTCACAGATTACACTTCGCTACCAAGGAAAGTGTTGCTCAGCACTCTTGTCAAGTCCTTTTCTTCATAAGGGTTGCCAAAACTAGGGGCCTGTTTTGAACTAAAGGTTTCATCTTGGGCGTCAGTGTTTAAAAAGGGCCATATTACAGGGGGTTGATCGCAAGGTCGTGATGGGATATCAGGGGCAACCACTAAAAAACGCGATCTTTTCCATATGGTCAAAGTTACCGATGGTCGTTTGGGGGCCGCACGGAATATTGAGCACCCCCCAAACAAACGAGGGATCCAGGCCGATTTCTCCCGAATCCAACCGTCAAAGCCTCAGGAGAACTTCCACTCGGTCCTGGCTGGCGAGAAGCAGGCGCGAAATCCGGCGGCTTACATACCCACCGCCGAAATCTGACACCGCCAACATCTGGGTGCCCATTTTGTTTTGGTAGGAAATCATGTGGATCAGATTGTCAAATGGAAACTAGACAAGGATGGATAATGGTTCAATTCAACTGCGCGCAATCATGAACTGCCTCTGGAGAGAGGCCGACATAATGGGCGCGAACAAAGCGTCCGACACAGCCAAGCCAGGGGCAAGACAAGCTCACCACCTTACGTGAGCTCCATGACTGAGATCCTTTACTCGGGGATGGTTTGTTTCAGGTTTTGGAACGATTGCAGCTTTGGTGCATTTTGCTTGGATGTTAGGACTTTAACTTTTTGCCAACTAATGGGTTTGCCATTAAACCACTAAAAGTTAAACTTTGAGCAGGGGAGCAGAAAGCAGCCGAGGCAGTATTTGCAGATACTTGCCTGCTATGTTGAGAACTCGCCGTTACCACAGAGAGCCAACACCACACCTGGCTGCGGGCATTTCCGAATTGCCGCTGGTTGGATAAGTCCTTGCATTCCCCCTCCGGGTTTCAACAGACCTTCTGGTTGCAAATTTAACTTGCTCTTTGGTGGGGGGGATTGTTTATGAGGTTTGAGCCTTTACAAGCATGTTGGCGGACGCAAGTTAGTAAACCTTGGTTCAATTGGTGTTGGGACCCCGCCGCTGCATGGTGGGACAGGATTTGTACATGCTCCTGGGGTACATGAACCCCCTCGAACAGCTTGGTGTTGCTTATGCAAGATTCCGTGGTCGTTGTTGGGAAACATTTTGCATTTGTGCTTATTGTGGTTTAGTGGGAAATCCCCACATAACTACTAAACTTTAAAGCGTTGCTCCCCTTCCAACGCCAACCAAGATTCCCTAGAAGGCGGCTTTTGGGTGTGTACCAGCAAGAGTCCTTTGACTCCAGCGTCCCAACCTGCCGAGCCGAGGAATGCCTTTGGTTGCTCCTTGATTCCTTTGGCCAAAAGTCCCAACATGAGCCTGGGTAGTCAGAAGTATGGCCGGTTCCTATTTTCCGATTGAACCAACCCAAAGTTGAACACTTTTTGCAGAGGGCTCGTTGCAGCAACCAAGGAATAGGAACCCTCAACCCAGGAACCGCCTCCAGGTCGTGCTGGTGCCACCTGGCCAGCGCGATGTGCTGAACTCCACGCGCTTCGCACTACAGAAGCGCCTGTGATCGAAGACGGGGAGATTGCAGGGAAGCACCTGCGTCCCCCCATCCTGAAAATGGAGCTCAGTGGCGTACGAAAAGCGACATGCATTGTCCAATTGTATGTTGTTTGTATGGGTGGTTGAGGTGAGCCCCATGAATGAGATGAGGCTCGAGCTGCCTAAGCTGCTTAGCAAATTACCCGGGGTACATGTGGGACAAGGGTTGCTTGACCTACGATCCTGCTTACAAGCTGAGGTCTCCAATGCCCCTGAGGAAATGGAGTCACGTACCCAAAATCAAGATGGTAAGCCAACCAAACCCTGTTGGCCCAGGTGATTACTAAGCAGGTTGAACATCCAAGTACTCGCCCACAAGCCTCTAGGCGCATTTCGAATGAGGAGTGTGTGTGTGTGTTTCCTGGCTTTGAAGCTGTATAGGGCGAAGGGACATGGCCCCGGAGCCACTAAACGACTCTTTTCAGTTTTTGCCTGATGCAAATGGGCGCCAGCGTGTCCAAAAGTGGTCTACATATGGAAGTTGGTATGTACAAAGACCCCTGGATGATAGGAACACCTTTCCGGATCTCAAGACGGTGTTTTGAGCTCCCTGGGGGGTCGGATCCTGATGGATCAACCAGGTTCTTGCAGGGGCATTAAGACAACCAAGAAGGATATTCCTGTTAAGGGAGCGGCCAACTAAAGACTTATGACCATGGCAAATGTTGTTCAAATAGGGCCCCCCCCCCCAAACTGGGTGGTTTACCTTTGGACAATGATCACGCCCGGCCTTTGCGAATTGGTTTTAAAAAGCCAACCCCTTTGCATGGTCAACACTTAACTTTCCAACTTCCATTTGTTTAGGAATATGTATTTTGTGGGGAGTTTTTTTTAAGGAGACCCTCCAAAATAATGATATTCCTTTCAGTTTCCCTTGCAAAAGCAGAGCAAGGGGTACCCTCAAAAAGACGACCCCCCATTGACTCAAGTGTTATGGCAACATATCAGTATTTGTTTGTATATTTCTCGGGGGACTTAAGCAAATGGAGCACAAAAAAGGTTCCTCCAATTTCTGCCCTCGGAGTGTACAACATCCACAGAAGTGTCCCCATGAACTGTCTACACATCCCACAGCAGCTTTCTGTGCAAGGGAAGACATGGGAACTTAACCAACAAGAAACATGAACGTGGACACGAGGCCTTTTCAGGAGAACTTTAGCCTTCCAACCCCATCCTGTCAGCTTCCATGATTGGTTAATAGAGAAAGGGTAAGGCGAAATGGGTGGGGTGGGCTTCACCCTTTTTCGGTTTGGTGTAGGGATGGTAAGGTGAGCCAATGTGGCCAAAATGGGCGTGTCTCAAAGTGGGAGCCGCTAACCGTTTAAAGTAAAAGGCAAGAAGCCCATTCCGGCCAACCTGGGTCTGTCTCAATAAAAACAGTGGGAGTCCCTAGACTGGGGTAGACTTAGGATGCGTTTTACATGTTACCAGTGACTCAAAGTGAAGCAAAAAGCAAAATATATATTGACATTCTATAACTGGGCCTAACTACAATCATGTAGAATTAACTCTAAGGGCAATCACAAGGAAGTCAAGTGCAGGTGAACCCAACAAGCCATGAGGCAGTGGCTTTTGGCCCCGGTGCCGGGGCCAAACAAGTACATGGGCTCCACAGTGCCCGGGACCTTGGCTCGAATCCATTCGTCCGGATCCGCATCCGAGCTGCGGAAGGCGAAGTTGAACTCGGGTCCTCCGAGTAAAAAATGGGTCAAGTTCTTGTGAATCGGGATTTCCCGGTTTTTATTTTTATTTTGGGACAGGAGCTGTTGTCGGTTGGATGGTTCAGAAATTGGCAGGCTAAGCCGCAAAGGTGGCAGATTGTGGTTCTCCTGTTCCCTTCACCGCGGAGCCCTGTTGGAGGCGGATGCCTTCCGATTCAATGAGGAATTTTCGAGCGTGAAATCACCGATACGCGTCAAGAAGCAAAGCGACATTGCGGAAATTCATCCGGCTTTTTTCGGGAATGCAGTTTTGAGAGCGGAACCAAATTCAGAGTTGCAATCCTGCCTGGGGTAGACTTAGGCTACATTTCACATGTTACCAGTGGCTCAAAGTATCTCAAAGTGAAGCAAAACCATAAGATATCGCTGTGGGTCAAAACCCACTACCCCTGGTGAACATCCCACTCCCCAGGAAAAAAAAAACGAATGGGTGAATTCACCGACCCCAACATGGGATCCCACTGTGGGAGTCCGGGGGCCGCAAGGGCGGGATCCAGCTCCAGTCGTTTTCCCCGCGCTGTCGTGTTTAACCTGGGATCCGGCCATGTTGACCAGGACCCCCAGCAAGTGGTGCCCTTTTACCCCCCTTTTTTTTATTTGGGTTGGGAGGTTCTTTTTACCAAAATGGCCTGCAGAAAACAGGGTACCCTTGTTTTCTAACCCCTCAAATCTGGAGGACCTAGTTGACGAACTCGGTCTGATTTTGGTTTCCCTCGAGGTCCAAACAAATTCAAGCCATGAGACTGACGCGACAGCTTCCAATCAGAAGATTGGTCCTTGAAAGGACGGGGTCCAGCTAAACACGAGAGAAGCCATTGCGCGGGTTCCCGTGGTTTCTCCGGGAAACTGGTTGCAGGAGAAGTAAGTGGTAACGCCCATTCGTTTGAGGTAGGAATGGTAAACATTCGGCGAGGCCATGTCCCAAAGGTAGCCTAGCGAAAAGACCCTTCTACTTGCTGCTGACGGTCGTGGACCCTTGTTGTTCGGAAGTTAGAGAACCATGACCATGACCCATACGTATGAACATCGACACTTTCTTTTACCCCGGTGCATGTCCCATGGGTCTACATTATTTTTGCTGCGGGGCACCGCAGATGTAGAAGGTTTGCACAAGGGTTTGCCCTCACGGATGGCACGGAACCGTTGCAACAACAGAAGCCCAAAATCAACCGCACTGTGGCCGCGGAAGCAAAACTCACCAAAGCATGCGACGGAAGCGGGCGCAAGCAGTTTCAACAATGACATGTTTGTGGAAGCAACAGTTCACGCCGCGGAAGCTCGGAAGAGCTTGCGGGGTTGAAAGAATGTGAACAGAAGCATAAGAGAATAAAACGCACAGCTGTTTTGGGTGTGTCTTTTGCTAGGAATCAGACCCAACTCAAACAACTCACTTCCAGAGTTCATGGACTTTAGTCGCTTTTCGTGTTTGGCCCCATTTTATTGGACAACAAGTTGGAGCTTTTTCTGGAGCATCCGCTCCATCGGCGAGACAAAAAGCCGCCACAGTGGAGCCTTGGCTCGGCTCAGGTTCACGTCCAAGCAGTCGGAGTGCTCCAGCGATCAGAGCGCCGTGCATCCCTTCCGCTCCCCCGAGTACAACCGCCAGGCGCGCCTGGGGCGCTCGGGGCGCCATGGGACCGCCTGGCGTGGGGGTTTGCGCGCGGGATCGCGATCTCCGGTGGGAGCGCCGGGTCCCGCGGCAGAGACGTTGGTGGGATTACAGGTGGGGGTGTCGTTTTGTTGTTCTCTTTCTTTCTTTCTTTTTCTGAGAGCACCCCGTTTTTCCCCAGGTGAAAGCTATGGGGTCGATGAGCCCAGATTGTTGATAAAGGGTGGTTTGGGGCAGATTTCAGAGAGAGATCAAAAGGAGGGTTCGAGGGGGTTCCGGGTGCTGTTGGGGATACCGCCGGGACTTATTTAGTTTTCTTGCAAAACCAAAAGGACCCCCACCATTTTTTAGGGTCTAAACAAAGACAAACCCAAAAAAGTATGTTTGCTTCAAAGGGACCCTTTTTGGGGTTGATCCAAAGGGAAGCTAAGAGGAGATTGCCCATTTGTGGGGTTCCCTTGTTTTGCGACAGCCCACCTGTCTGGGTTTCGGAGGTATCGCAGGCATACCTGGTCCTATTGAATTGACGTATTGAATATGGTGCGGAAGATCAGAAGCTAGTGATGTATTTACATAGGTTTGCAATGAGGCCTCATTTTGAATTTGCTGCTGTTATGAGCTATGTTTGCAATGAGAGCCTTGGCCTGCCATTTTAGCTCATGATTGGAGCTCACCTTTGTAACCTGAAAACGGTTGCCTCTTGGAACTTCGAGAGGCAACGTAGTGAAGTGGCCTGGTGGTCCGTTTAAAGCCTGAATGGGATTGCGGTTTCCATGGGTCGGCTTGGTTTAGACAAATGTCCCCGGCTTGAGTTTCAGCATTTACCTGAATCCTTTTGTTTTCAGCAGGACACAGACCAGAGGGGCTCCATGGGCACTTAGCGCATATGTTGCAGCAACGAATCCTAAGACGCCAGTACCCTGAATCAAGGCGCTCGCAAACTAGGCCCCAAGCGTCCATCATACGGACTACCCCTCCGCCCAAAAGAAGCAACATGCGATCTGTCGCCCCAAACAAAAAACAACAAAGACAAAGGTGCGGCACGCCCCGAGTCTTTCAACACAGCGATCCGCACTTTGAGCATCTCCCGCGAGGTCTCGAGAGGTCAGTGGCCGGATGCGGTGAGCTTCCCTGTGCGCCGCGGCACACTGCGGAAGGGCGACACGCCCAGGGCCTAGCCCGGGTCTTGCTCGATGACTCTCTTCTCGGGTTCGTTTGAAGGAATGGACAGCACAACCGAAAGTCCCGTTTCGAGGGGGCACATGCCCAAAGAAAAAACGCACGCGTGAAGTTTCAACTGAGGGTACCAAAGTGTTTTCCCATATTCAGTCAGAGCCGGCAGCAAGGGCCACGGGCAGGTTATGGCCCTTAGTGGTTTTGATGGCGAATAGTCGCTACAAGTCACCAGTCAGCCTTTTAGGCAGCCCCTTATAGCTTTGAGTCAGTTTATGGTTATCTGCGGTCGTTGAAATGATCTTGCATCTTAAGGTTCTCTAAAGTGAATTGAGTATGTTTAGGTTGGGGCGCAAGCTCGGGTAGATGTGGGTATGGCTTTATTGAGGCTACCTTTAAACGACAAAGCAAGGGCATGGAAATGCCGCGAGTCAGGACCTCAGGACCTTTTCTTGTCTGATCAACTCTCGAATGTCATTGTGTTGGTTTTTTCTTTGGTAGCCTGATAGGAGCAGAGGGCAGTCCGCTTTCGGGGCAAACCCGCTTTCGGTCAAACGAGACACTGACCCTCCAAATCATGGCACTGGGATGAATCCGAGACGGAGTCCATTCTTGTCGGGAGTACCATTCTTGAGTGAAGAACTAAGGAACCGGAAGGCCTTTCAGTGGTAGCAGAAGTGGGAAATTCCCCGCAAACCCGCTCACTCCCAAAAATTATGACTCTTCAATTTGGACATCACTGGCAGTCCAACTGTGACATAAAATCTCTTATGACACGCGACCAGTCACATCAACTGGATGTAATCCGTGGCGTTCTTTTTTTCTTTTTGGCGATGCGAGGTTGTACATACCAGCATATCACTGGCATTGGGTTGCAACGACGACACCGCCAGCGCTCGGCGTGGAGGACCCGACCTTTGGGAAAATCCGTCAGAGCCTTCGGAGAAGCGATTCGGCGCGTAAAGGAAGCTCACTTGCTTTAAGCGAATCGACCTTTTGGTTCTCCTTGTGGTTTTGCCTTTTCGAATCCTTTTTTAGTTGGCCCCAAAAAGTGAGCCTTTTGTTTCTGGGTCCTTTGGGCAACTGAGGAAGGGGCCCCCCCGTTTCGTCCAGTTCAGCAATCCCAAGCGAGGATGAAGGGGCTTTGGCCCTCTCCGTCAACTTCTGGCGCCGAACTCGGATGTCACACGCCTTCTCGCCTTGGTCCACACGGGAACGGGAAACCAATAGGGGAGCCACCACTTTTGGTCCCGTTTTGGCATAGCATTCGATTACTCTGATTGAACCGGAAGTTTTGACAAAAGAAGAGTTGCAATCTGTTGGACCCGCCTAGCACGGGTTTATTGGGGATGGTGCCGGGTCCCCTCCCAAATCCCCAGCAGAGTTGGACATAGTTGGACTACAATCCCCCTTATTGCTTTGGGTATCTTCCTGTGGCTTCTTAATACGCAGATCTCAGCAGCTGGTGACACGTGCCTCGCTGGTCTCATTGATAGGTCGCCAACTGTGCTGGGGTGGGGTGGGGGTGCAGTTTGTATCAAAGTCGGGGCCATTTGGCCTCGGTTCTGTTGCCGCCCAAGACCCCCAAAGGCTCGGGCCCTTTGCCAACTCCGCGGCCCTGAATCCAACTCTTGGATCGATGGGTCGATCCGAGGTGGTGGCCGATTCACAACGACCAGGCGCCTGCGGATTTCACCCCCAAACAGGCAGATTTATATAGCCTGGTGTTTTTATAATGTTTTTTTTCCCCAAAGAAAAATCAAAAATCATAGGAGATGGGACATTGTTTGATTTGCGACCCTCTACTTAGCATCAGCCAAAGATCCTTGAGGGATTGGGGGTTTGGCCAAAAGTGCAGCTTTGGGGGGTAGGGTCCTACAGGCCACAGGGGACCCTGAATAGGCCCCTTGGACTTGGTGTTCAAGCTACTTAGTCGTCTATAACTCATAACCCATAGTTATAAGGGGAAGGACCCCGGTTTCCCCAGCTACTATGTGGCGATTCGGTCTTACAAAGACCGAATCGCCCAATGGCTTTTTCCATAGACCCCACCAAAAAGTCTATCGACCTTATGCTCCGGGGGCTCGGAGCAACCCATTCCCCGGACTACTTGGGTGTTCAAGCTACTTAGTTAATAGGCTACCATGATTACGAGCGGACAAACCCCAGCTACCCCAGCTTTGTTTGCACCTCCCGGTCCTTGAAAGGCCATGGAGCGCTGGAGCTTCCAGAATGAGTGCGAGCCGCTCGCCGCGGGGTTGGATGTTTTTTGGTGTTATTTCTGTGTGTTTTGTTTGTCTTTTTGTTCTCCCCGTTTTTTTTATTCTTCTTGTTTTAGTTGTCATGTTTGTTGTTTTTTTGTTTCCGGGGTTTTCAGGGTAATCAAGCCATGGTTCCCTTCATGTGAGCAAAGACATGCTGAAACAGGCAGTCATACGTTTCGTGGTTCACCAAAAGAAACTGGGATCAAGGATTGGGCTCGATCAACAGTTTTTTTCCGCAATACCAATGCCATTGTGTCATGCGTCGAGATACAGCCTACTACTGTTGGAAAGACGGAGGGATCTACCAAATGCCTGGATATGTCAAAAAAGAGACCACTCCCCAACATTGGTGTCATGTTGGCTTGACAGGTTTCGTAGAAGTCACAGTTGAGACGTGATCGGCGGGTTAGTTTGTTGATTCGCCATGTTAGCTGTGCGGACGTTCTGTCGTGGGGTTTGCGTGTTGAAACCTTTGTTGACTAATAATACAGTTGGACCCTTCTCTATGAGTGTCAAAGCCTCTCGCAACTTGATGTTCCTGAGATCATGGACTTTGTACTTTTTTGGGAATATCACACTTTTGCTGGCCCGTCCACTCAGGAAGTGATTAACCGCACTCAAAAGAGACTCGCCACTCGCCGTTTTTTCTGGGGATTTCAGGGGCCCCTATGTTGGATGGATGTTCAGGAATACAACTGGGAAACCTCCTATGTTGATGGGTCCAGATTTTTGTCTGGCACCCCTGCATGTGGCTCCAGGTCTTTTCGGAATGCGCGAACACAGCGCGGACCTCAGATTCGGTGCAATTCGACTCAGAGAGGATTTGAAGGGAAATCAAGCTGGCCCCCCCTTGGTGGTGTCTACGCTGAAGACCCGGTCCCTTTGCTTACTTCCTTAGCGGATCCAAGCGGCGTAGGCAAATCGCGGGGTTCTGGTCATGTCCCCTTTCGGGAGAAAAAACAACTCATGTGCCAGAGAGGTTTGGCAAGACAAAGTAGACGTTTGTGCTGGCCATGAAGCTGATCCTGCGGAGGAAAAAACAATGGAAACAAACACCTACTATTTTGGAAACGCTTGTGGAATGAGTGGTAAGTCCTTCGAAAAAGCCCCTATTTTAAGGTACGCCAAAAGGGTTTGTGTCAATATAAATGGGCCTTGGGCCTTTTGCTTTCCTTTGCAGAGCCAGAAACCAGAATGACAACCACACGAAAACAATGCATACAGTGTTAAGTTATCCCCGATGGTTGACTCTGCACTCTCAGTGAGTTCACTCAGGGTGGTGAATTATACTCAGATGTTCAGCCAAGTGGTTGGCCAGTTGGGATCCCTACCAGTAACGGGGACGCCTCGTCTTAGTTGACTTGTTGGGTTATAACTTAATAATGTGACCAGTAGAGTGGGAAACCAGCCATGGTCCTTCTGGTTTTAAGGGTGGTTCCATTGGTCGACCAATGAATCACATTGGGCCAGGTCGCTACGCACTTGCGAACTTGGCTGAACACTGAAGTGGAAAGTAAGGATTCCAAAATTATATGGGTTGATTCCCCATTCTTCTCAACCATCGTTCTTTCCAGAAAGAAGGGCCGTTTTCCCCAAGTTTCCGGAGGTTTTCTGGAAAGAAGGATCCCTGGAAAGAATGAAAATGGAAGGTACCCCTTGAATTATAGCCCGTCGCATTCGCGAATGAGCGAGGCCGAAAGAGCGACAGTTTCCGGACCGCGCTGCCCATGCAGCCTCCTTCTATCAGCTCACGGCGAAGCAGAGGCGGTTGCTTCCTGCCGGTTCCATGTGGTTATGGGTCAAATCTTAACCACCTGGATATGGACCGCAGGAATTTTAATCCCTGGTTCCATTTACCAGGGGTCCATTTTGGGTACCCATTTTTGTGGAGCTGTTGATTGCTTTTTGGTGAGTGCCTGCATCATTCTGGACACCGAGCCTGGCAACACTGCCTCAATGGTCCGCAACAAAAAGGCTTCCGGATCGGATCGGATCAGGAAACTCGATGTGCATCATAGTCAAGGGCCAAATTTTGAGGAAAATGGGCGCGACATAACTCAGTTGTTCAGTGGCCCCAACTATGTTTCCAACTCTTTTTTTTTGGTGGCTGCCCCACTAAAATGGTCTTCCCACAAAAACGGGTTCCCTGTTTTTTCCCAGGGTCACTGATCCCATGCCATGTTGCACCCAGTTTTCGGAGCCCAAGGGGCCGGTTTCGGCTTGAGCCGCTTTCCGATCTCGGCGAAAGGCAGGAGGCGGCGATCCCAAGGCCCTGGCCAATGGGCGGGGCTCTCAGTGGCCTCGCGGCTGTATGGATCAACCCCTGGTTGATAGGATCCATTTAAGAGGGATCCTTCACTTGGGCGAATAGATCCGTGAATCCGGGGTTTAAGAAACTCGCAAAAGATCCAAGAGGGATCCTTCACTTGGAATATAGTGAGTCTGGGGTTTAGGAAACTTCAAGTCGGTGCTTCGGGGGTCCTAGCTCAATTCAGAAGGCCAGATGACTCACTCCTTGGCAGCCGGGACCTAATTGTGGGCCAGGGCCGCCTGTCGCAGTGAAGAAAGAGGAGGCTTCGGTCAAAGCACGGCGCCCAGACTTGCGCATGGCCATCCAAGCCCCCCCCAATGGATCCAAAGCGAATCGACCGTTTGATCTTTCGGGTTGGTCAAGGTCTCAAAAGCCCCGTACTTCCAGGTCGTTTGGCAAAGATCCCCTTAGGGCCACAAGGCTTGTTTGGGGGGGACATACCCAGAATCTAACACGGCTGCCATGTGTTGGCGGACTTTGAGGCGAGTCCCTTGCAGGGGAGGCTTGAGTTGCAAGCTGAACCCTCGCCGTTTTGAACGGGGAGAAGCCGCTGAGACCGAGATGAAGTTTGAGCTTGTCGACTGAGCGTTCGCCCAGTTCCTTATGTTTCGTTACTTACGACATTAGATGATCAGGGCCAGCAGCATGCATCCTGCATGCGTGCTCATAGCTAGCACCGACCGTGCGCTGGAAAACGAGCAGTGATCTGCCAACTGCTCCACGTTCGAAATTGGTTGGTCAGCATGGGGTGAATACTCGGCGGGGTGTCAAGCATGGGGCCACCTCTTGGTATCCCCTTTAAAAAGGCAGCGGATATTCCTTGGCACCAGGGTCCAAGAAGAAACTGGCCATATGTTTGACAATCCCCCCATGTATGGGATTTATTCGGAATCTCTATGTTACATTGTGGTACATGTTAAGGTTCACCAAATGGGTCAAGCATATCTCCTTTCGGTTTGTGTAAAAGCTGACGTTTTTGGGCTTCAAGCTCCGCTCTTTAGCGAGGGCTCTATGACCTGAGCATTGCAAAAAAGGAACACGGACCCTCTCTTGACAGGCTTGTTTAACCCCCCCCCAACAATAAACTCTTTGCTTCAATGAAGGCAATCCAAAAGAGCAAAACATGCGAGCGTGTCGGATATGTCTGGCAGTGCTGGGTTTTGCCTTGCGGTCTGGCTGGATTACTTGCAAGGTTTGGGGAACCAACTGTACCAGCAAACATCCCGCCTGTTCGGTTCAGTAAGCGCTCGTGGTGAAGTTGAGAGCAGAGCCAAATGTGGTGCGCGTGCACCTTCCAAGTGTGTTGTTTGGGGAACACTGCAGCAAATGCTTCGCCTTGTGGTTTGTCTTGTCACTGCAGTTGCAGGCTGCTAAACAACCCACGATCTTAAAGTTCCCTTCAGGAAGCCACAAGAAAGATGTAACTGGTTGTGAAACCACAACCAGTTGCAGCCCCCTTAAACACCAACCACAAGGGGATGCATGATTTCCCTGATTTCCCAATTTGCGCCAAATCCTGCACAAGGTTGAATGACCCTGTGCAATGTGTCCTCTTGTGGATGGCAGTCAACCCAGGAAAGAAGCTTCATCATGTAGGGTAGGAGTAAGGGTCCATTGGACATGTGCCTATTCGTGTCCAATAATTCAACGTCCATGGGATCGGAGACATGAAACCTATACACAACATATATGACATCACATTCTTGCATATCGCGTATGACACATATACATCACTAAAGCCATATGACCCCCGGTGAGCCTTGCCCTTGGACGCCGCTGTCCGCTGGGCGCTTGAGAAGAAGGCGGCCTTTGCGGCCTTCTGCCATGGCCTCTTCGCCATGCCGCGGGAGCGTTCACAGAGCCCAGGACGGGGGGGGGGTGGGTGGAGGGGGACTGGGGGGAGTGTGGTGGACGGGTGGACGTCTTGGTGGACGTCTTTTTTGCTCTGTTTTGGCAGGGGGCCTATTAAAAAACCAGCAGCGCCAAAAAGTTGTGGCCTCGTGTCCATGGTGTTTTGGTTGGCGGCGACATCAAAACCAACCACCACCAAAAAATGTGCCGCTATGGTCAAACCACCACACTCGGGGTCGGTAGGGGGATCAGCCCTTCAGAGGGATCTGTTGACCGCCATTATGAGGGCTCCTCCAAAGACACACCATCAGGTTTGCTTTAAAGAAACATCATACAATGAGCACATGGGGATGAGCATGGCAGAAACATGGGAAGCTCAGCTGTAGCGCTCCGAACCTCCGCGCGAAACCCGCAGGCCTGGCGGCGCTGTCCTGGCTGGCGCGGGGCTGGGACGCGCTGCGGACCTGGCTGCGCTCCGAAGAGCCCCAGCTGCTGGAGGTGGTGCACCTTGGTCGATGTGTTCCGAAAAGCGTGGGATTTCGTAGGACTTGCTTTTTTTTGTGTTTTTGTTTTTTTTTGGGGGAAGGGGGGAAGGGGGGGGTGCTAAACGAGTTCATGTAAATATAGTACGTTATATTGATTTATAGATATATGTATGTATTATCCGTTTGTGTGGGTGTGTGTTTGTTTTTTGTTCGGGGGGAAACAAGAAGGGTTTTTATGAGTGTCCTATAATTTCAGGATGTCCGAAAAGGTCGGGAGTTCTCACATTTGCTTGGCAGGTGGGCCTGGATCGTTTTTTTTGGTCGAGAGACGGGATAAATTAAGAAACATGTCGCAGGCCTGAAGTGAAGCAGCGTTTTGGGTGTCGTGTGTGTGTGTGTGTGTGTGTCGTTGTTGTTGTTGTTGTTGTTGTTGTTGTTGTTGTTGTTGTTGTTGTTGTTGTTGTTGTTGTTGTTGTTGTTGTTGTTGTTGTTGTTGTTGTTGTTGTTGTTGTTGTTGTTGTTGTTGTTGTTGTTGTTGTTGTTGTTGTTGTTGTTGTTGTTGTTGTTGTTGTTGTTGTTGTTGTTGTTGTTGTTGTTTGTTGTTGTTGTTGTTGTTGTTGTTGTTGTTGTTGTTGTTGTTGTTGTTGTTGTTGTTGTTGTTGTTGTTGTTGTTGTTGTTGTTGTTGTTGTTGTTGTTGTTGTTGTTGTTGTTTGTTGTTGTTGTTGTTGTTGTTGTTGTTGTTGTTGTTGTTGTTGTTGTTGTTGTTGTTGTTGTTGTTGTTGTTGTTGTTGTTGTTGTTGTTGTTGTTGTTGTTGTTGTTGTTGTTGTTGTTGTTGTTGTTGTTGTTGTTGTTGTTGTTGTTGTTGTTGTTGTTTTTGTGTGTTTTAATCACTACTATTATTATCATCATTATTATTGTATTATTGTTGTTATTTGTATAATAATAATAATTATTATTTTGTTTATTATTATTGTTATTGTTATTGTTATTATTATGTTTATTATTATTATTATTATCAGTCTTGTTTATTAATATTAGTTTTATAATCATTGTAATTGTTATAATACTAACAATAATTATTGTGATCATTGTTGTTTATTATTGTTATTATTATTATTTAGTATTATGATTTAGTATTATTATAATCATTATTATTAATAGTTTTTTATTATTAATTATTATCATTAGTTATTTCTATTGTACTTATTATCGTTATTATTGTTATTATTATTATGATGTGTGACACGTTTCTTTTTTTGCGAGGCACATGGGCGGCGCCTTGCTGCGAGAGAGCTGCGAGATGAGCTCCGCAGAGATCGCCTTAGTGCATCGGGGTGAGCGTGTCATCCTCGTGCAGGAGGCGCAGCGGTGATATCAGGTAAACCTGGTTGGACTTCACGGTTGGCTGTTTGGGTCTTTGCGATCTCCTGCTTTATCAAGGATCATGGAAAACAGGAAGGATCTGAGAGACTAGCTTCAGACAACCAGTTGGTGGGTTGGATTGTGGATTTGAACCCCTGGTTCTTGTAGAGGATAAATGGGAAACTCCTGGAACACCCCAAAACCACCAATTTGAGGTATGGGCTCAATAAGACCTCGGCAGAGACATCCAGCCCTTGCTTCAATGGGAAATCAAAAGGAGACGAAAGGAAACCAACCAATTTAAGGGTAATACAGTGTAGTGCAGGTGCAACCCCCAAGTGACAAATGCTGTGATTGGAGGGACATTTCATGAAGTGGCTCTATACAATTGCACATACTTCTGCACATAACTTTGTTGGGTTTAACGTCCCCCACAATCCCATTCTATTTGTTTAAAGCCCTTGTAGCCCTCTATGCCCTTTTTTGGAGGACACCGTATTGTTAGGGTGGCCTTTTACGGGAAGACGACGGTACCTCACGCTCCCAGCTTCTGGACCTTCTGGATGGCCGGTTTTGTTTCGGTCCACCCGTCCAAGAAGTATGGCCACAACGGCCATATGGGGGCCCGGGCTTACACACCCTTCAAAGGGGTGGGTTGTCAAAGTAGGAGGACGCCAGGTTTCCATGTTTTTAGGTCGGTTGTAAAAGTAAGAGGAAGCCACTCATGTTGGAGGCCACTTACCTATACGGTGACGACTTTTAAATATGTGGGGGCCGGGCCTGGGCTTCAGGGCTGGGAGGTAGTGTAAGACATTTGTTTAAATCGGATATTTAAAGTGGCTGGCCGGGCCACCCTCACGGGCCCCGGAGGTAGTATGAAATACCAATTAGGATATTTAAATGGCAACACCGAGACAGACCCCTTCCCCGTTAAAAAAAGACAGTGCGTAACACAATTCGAGGCCTTGCTCGCAGCTGCGTTGCGCTAGCTCCTGCCAAGCCAGGTCAGATTGCACAGGTCCAACCTAAGGCGCCATGTCGGTACTATGCTTGCGTAACTCCATGCTTGATAACCGCCTGGAATTGCGGAGCTAAGTGCGCTGAATTGAGCTGCCCAAGCCCTGTGTACGTGGCTCGTGGAGAAAGAAAGCAAGAAGAACATGAATGCCCCTTGTCTCGGACGGGACTCCCAGGTTTCCTTAACTTCTGGCGTCTGGGGATGGGAGCTTCTTGTAAACAAATCCCAGAATGAAAAGAATTGGAAGAGAGAGAGAGAGAGCGAGAGAGAGAGAATGCCTGGATCTGGCATTGGGCCTTGTGTCAGACCTGTTTCAGACCCCTGCAAAAGTACCATCTCAAATTCTGAAAACCCTGCCCCGAATCCCCAGCACCAGTATAGCGGTGCAGCGGCTCGCGGGCCGTGGAGGTAGTAGGAAACACCAATTGGGACATGGTGATGCCTGCAATTGCAGAACAATGCTTTCGTAATCCCATAAACGCCTGGAATTGCGGAGCTAAGTGCGCTGAATTGAGCTGCCTAAGCCCTGTCTACGTGGCTCGTGGAGACAGAAAGCAAGAAGGACATGAATGCCCCTTGTCTCGGACGGGGCTCCCAGATTTCCTTGAATTCTTGAAACTTCTGGCGTCTGGGGATGGGACCTGTTTTTTAAACAAATCTCAGAATGAAAAAAGACCCCTGCGAAAAGACCATCTCATATTCGCAAAACCCCGCCCCGAATCCGTAACACACACGCGTCAGCTCCTGCCAAGAACCTAAGGCGCCATGTCGGCGCAACACTGATGCCTCTAATTGCAGACCAACGCTTTCGTAATTCCATTGTCCATGTTACATAAACGCCTGGAATTGCGGAGCTAGTGCGCTGACTTGAGCTGCCTAAGCCCTGCCTACGTGGCTCGTGGAGAAAGAAAGCAAGAAGGAGCTTTTTTTTTTAACCCACAGAATGAAAAGAATTGGTAGAGAAGAAAGAGACGCAAGAGAGAGAGAGGGAGAGAGAGAATGCTTGGATCTGGCATTGGGCCCTGTGTCAGACCTGTTTCAGACCCCTGCAAAAGGACAATCTCATATTCGCAAAACCCTGCCCCGAATCCGTAGCACACGCGCTGGCCCTTGCCAAGCCACACAGGTCCAACCTAAGGCGCCATGTCGGCGCAATACTAATGCTTCTAATTGCAGACCAACGCTTTCGTAATTCCATGCAACGTAAATGCCTGGAATTGCGGAGCTAAGTGCTCTGAATTGAGCTGCCTAAGCCTTGTCTACATGGCTCGTTGGGACAGAAAGCAAGAAGGACATGAATGCCCTTGTCTCGGACGGGACTCCCAGGCTTCCTTCAATTCTTGAAACTCCTGGCGTCTGGGGATGGGGCCTGCTTTTTTTAACAAATTCCAGAACAACCGAATGGTTGCGGAAGATGTAATTGGCAACAAACAGCAAGCAAATTGACAAGGCGGGCCGGGCCAGAGGCAGGCTTTCCAGACCTAACGCGAAATACCTATCTAAATCGGGTATTTCAGTTGGTCGGCCGGGCTGGCGGTAACGCTGGCGGAGGTAGTGTAAAATCTTTGTTGACCTATTTAAGTGTCCGGGTGTTTAAGTGGCGACACCGTACTCTTCTTGGGGTGTAAAAAGGGGAAGAGACCACTCATTTTGGAAGAGCTCCCCATTTTCGAGACAGCCACAGATTGACGCAAGTTCTGGGTTGGAGCACTGGATTGATCAACACATTGATGAGAACATTTTGTAGAACAGCTTCTTGATGCGCGGAACCAAAAACAACAAACACGCGACAAAGAAGCAAAACAATTCCTGAACTACTCGTTTGTGGTTGGAACACTGCAGGCAAAAATGAATTCATGTATAAGCCGGAGGGCCCTCGTAACTTCCAGTCAGGGTTGAGAAATTGCACGAAGATGGCGCCTGACGCGGCGTCCCTCCAAGAGAAAAATCCAGGCTTTTCCACAACGTGCAGTGTTTGTGGGAGACAGGGCAGGCTCCAACCAACCCCATCCTCTTCCCACTTTGTGTTTCTGGACTTGATGCTTCTTGGGAAAACCATTAAAATGGCAAGCAACACGCTTGGACTTCGTTTGGCTGATCCACTCAAGTAAGTCGCCTTCAAATCTTCCAGACTTTAGCACCCTATGAAACATGGACATTGCTGCCTGGATTGTGCTTGGGTCCAACCTTCAGGTCACCCCTACTTTATGGTTTGGATTGGTTTGGCGATTTTGACCTTCTTGCAGAGAGCAAGTTGGAAGCCACCCTGGGAACACCAATCCAAATCAATCCAAACCAGAAGCTGAAAACCTGTGTTGGCTTCACTGCTCTTGGCAAGTCATGTTTGTCTCTCTCTCTCTCTCTCTCTCGTTTTTTTGTCGGCTACTTTCCATTTTTAGTAGGCCGCAAGAAAAAGAAGAAACAAGTCAGCTTTTGCAACCATACCGCTTGGGTTGTGCAGTTGAACCTGCTTTTCACCCGCCGAGTAGCCGGCGAGGCGGGGCGCCGCGCGGAAGTCCGCACCTCCGACGGGTTCACCGGCTGGCTCTCGCTGCGCACGGCGGAGAATGCGCCGAGCCCCGGCGCTGGACGTGTGGATGGGGGGGATCTATGGAGTGCAAGGGGAACAAGCGCCATATATGTATATATATACTAGGTCCCCTAGTAGTGCCCTTTTACCAGTCTTTTTTGGGGGAGGGTTCCCCTACTAGAATAGACCACAGAAAAAAGGGTACCCTTATTCTAGCCCCTCTACTGACTGGAGGACCTAGTATATATGTGTATATATATATATATGTATAATCATATGTACACAGTTATGTGTGTGTATATATATATATATGTCCACGGTATTTTATGCATTTCGGATGTTTGGAGCTTTTGGGTACGTCATACCTTGTTGTGTTTTAGTTGTATGGGTATTTAGAGGCATGGGAGTACCCCTTGCCTTTTGAGAGAAGACTTCAGAAGGATTTAAGGACATATCCTAGCATTTGCACTCGGCAAAGCCCTAGGTTGTTCAGATTTTCGAGTTGCCCTCATTTGTGTTGCTTTTCACGATAGCTCCGTTCCTCCGCACAGGTTTACTTGCTGATTCAATACCTGGATCCGACGACCCGACCCTCCTGTATCCTCGTTAACGCAGTGTTTTGGCTCAATTGCTTGTTTGCGTGTTTTGTGGTTGCACGCTGTTTGGAATTTGCGCACTTTTGTGGGATTTGTGCGCATTTTGCGGATGAAGTAGTCAGGTTGCCGAATTCGGTTGCGGAAAGAATCGATACTGCGCCGTTCATTCCCGTGCGTTGAAGTCTCACATCTTAATTGGCTCTTCTCTTGTCTCAACCCAGGCCTTGCCCAGGCAGGCATTTTGTTGCACATACTTGACACTTTGCGACCATTGTTTTTGCAACCCGCTTGGCTGGCTCCAACCTCCATCAACAGCTCCAAGCCCGCAAGTATTGCCTGGAGTTGCAGGGATCCGCAGTTTGCTACAGGACTGTGCCTGTGCTTGTACACATACCTATTCTGCTGAAAAAAACAAGTTTGAAAATGGTTCATGAGCCACTGAGGATTGTACAAAAAGTGCTACAAAATGGCGCCAGCTGCAAGGCAGGGCGATGCGAGTTGAATGCGCCGGACATGAGGTTTGTTTTGCAAGGGGGCGGGGACTGTCCAAGAAAGTTTAAGTTTCCCCTTGGTTTCCCTTCAAAGCAACGGTACCCTAAACACCCGCCCACGTGCCATTCTTTCCAGGCTGGAGTTTGTCATTTGAGAAGCTTGCACAACAAGATCAGGGGGGGGGTCTAGTGGTTTTCCAAAGAACAAATGGTTGAAAGGAATCGGAAAACCTACAAGCAGAGCTATCTTCGAGACTGTGTGCCCAGTAGAGCCTCAACGTTCACCCCTGCAGACGAACCTGGGAACCCTGCAAATGCAAGAAAAGCAACGGCCTTTTTAAGGGAGGTTTCGTTGGGTTCGGGGAATATTCACCTGCCGTTACCTCAGCTCCCGAGTCCATGGGGGTGGGGGGAAGGAAGCAGAGGGCTAAGCGCCTTTCGGTTGGAAACAAGCGGTGGGTTCCTTCCTTCGGCGCCACAGATCCAGCAGTTTCTTATTTCAGACAACGGAAGACTCCTCCAGAAAAAAATGGCTTCGGGGCTCCATCTTATCCTGTTTATTTTGCAAGAGGGTATGTGTTACCCAAACAGCCGCTTTACCATCGCCGGGTTGGTGAATTGGCCGGCAAAAGAAACAGATCGCAACGAGGTCAGATCCATCTTCCAATAAAGGCCCAATTAGCCTTTTGGTCCACAACGCCCTCAGAATAAAGTTAACCCACCTCAAGGGAACTTGCAAAAGGTTATAACCTAGGTTGCTAACTTTCTAGCTTAGCTTAGTGCTTTGTGTTTTGTTGGTTCTGTTCATTTTCAGTGGGGGCCTACAAAAAACAGACAGTTTGGTGCAACCATACCGTTTGGGGTGTGAAAGTTTGCCGAAGACCCAAGCGCGCGCCAGCACCGGCGCAGCGCGAGCTTCCGGGAGGAGTTCGAGACCAAGTGGCAGAGGCAAGCTTTCGCTTTCGGCTCCCGAAGTCGGCGGACACGACTCGGCCACAAAAAACGGCGCGCGGTTTTTTTGAGGTTGAGTGCACCTGTTTCTAGATTGGTTAGAGTTGGAAAAGCGAAATCCATGGTTCCTCTATTTCAACACACTCATTGGGGTTCCTCATGAGCCTGGGGTGGGGCCCGGGGTGGGGAGGGGAGCCCAAACAAGCCAAGCTTAAAACCTCATTCGCCCCCGGGCCCAATGACTCTGTGTCAGGCTGCGGGTGGATGTGGGGCCAAATGAGGAGCGCATGCACGCGCTACGGCAATCCTCGGGGCGCGTGCCCATTAGCCATTGGCGGCCCTCAGGCGCAGCGAGGGATCGGCGGATCGGCCTTGATTGAAAAATATCGGTGGGCCTTGGGGAAAAGCTGGTTCGATCATTGGCCATTTGTGTTCCGTAAAAGGGACATGCCATTTGTTTTAACCCTCCCAATCATGGCAGCTATTGCCTCTGGACGGCGTCAGTTGAGGTTTGGAGGATTCCACAGGTCGCGGTAAAGCAACCATGTAGATCCTTGAGCATTTGCTAGTTCAGGTTTGTTGGAATCTGTAGATTGGATTTCTGGGCCAGGGGTAGTTGTTTGGCTAGGGCATAGTCACCCATTGGTGCATTGGAGATGGGTCAGTTTGCTGGGATGCTCTCCGGGATGTTCTATTGAGTTTCCGGGGTACTCCCCTGCAGATTGGAGCCCAACCAACCATCACTTGTACGGGTAGCAGGGTTGGATAGATTTAGCGTACTGTTATGGCTGGGATCTAGAAGTAAAACAGGCTTCCCATCAACATTGTGCGAAAAGGGGAGTCGCCCCTATTTTGTGACCCTCCTTTTGTCATCCAAATAGTTTGTTTGTTTGTTTATGTGCTTGTGTGATGGTGTGCTTCTGTGATGGATGGTGTGATCGTGTGTCTGTGTTTGTCAATGTCTTTGCGTGTTGGTTTGTTTGTTGCTTTGCTTGCTTGCTTGCTTGCTTGCTTGCTTGCTTGCTTGGTTGGTTGGTTGGTTGGTTGGTTGGTTGGTTGGTTGGTTGGTTGGTTGGTTGGTTAATTAATTGGTTGGTTGGTCCGTTGGTTCTTTGTGTGTGTGTGTCTTGTGTGTTTGTTTGTGTGTTTGTTTGTTTGTTTGTTTGTTGTTTTGTTTTGTTTGTTTGTTTGTTTGTTTGTTTGTTTGTCTATGGATGTGTGTGTGTGTTACTTTCTTTACTTGTTTGTTTGTTTGTCTCTTTCTGATGGTTGTGTTTGTGTGTGTGTGTTTGTTTGATTGATTGATTGATTGTTTGTTTGTATTGTATTGTATTGTATTGTATTGTATTGTTTGTTTGTGTAGTTGCTTGTTTGTTTCTGTGTTTGTGTGGTTGTTTGATTGATTGGTTGATTTATTGATTTGATTGAGTTGATTTGATTTGATTTGATGTGTTTTGGTTGATTGATTGATTGATTGGTTGGTTGGTTGGTTGGTTGGTTGGTTGATTGTTTTATTGGTTGATTGTTTGTTTGTGCGTTTCATTGATTGATTGATTGATTGATTGATTGATTGATTGATTGATTGATTGATTGATTGATTGATTGATTGATTGATTGATTGATTGATTGATTGATTGATTCAGTAGTTGGTGGGTTGGTGGGTTGGTGGGTTGGTGGGTTGGTGGGTTGGTGGGTTGGTGGGTTGGTGGGTTGGTGGGTTGGTGGGTTGGTGGGTTGGTGGGTTGGTGGGTTGGTGGGTTGGTTGGTTGGTTGGTTGGTCGGTTGGTTGGTTGGTTGGTTGGTTGATTATTTTGTTTGCTTGCTTGTTTGCTTGCTTCTTTGCTTGCTTGTTTGTTTGCTTGATTGCTTGTTTGTTTGCTTGATTGTTTGTTTGTTCTGTTTTGTTTGCTTGTTTGTTTATTTGTTTGTTTGTGTTATTTGCTTGCTTGCCTGCTTGCTTGTTGTGCTTGTTTGTTTGTTTGTTTGTTTGTTTGTTTGTTTGTTCGTTCTGTTTTGTTTGCTTGTTTGTTTATTTGTTTGTTTGTGTTATTTGCTTGCTTGCCTGCTTGCTTGTTGTGCTTGTTTGTTTGTTTGTTTGTTTGTTTGTTTGTTTGTTCGTTCTGTTTTGTTTGCTTGTTTGTTTATTTGTTTGTTTGTGTTATTTGCTTGCTTGCCTGCTTGCTTGTTGTGCTTGTTTGTTTGTTTGTTTGTTTGTTTGTTTGTGTTGTTTGCTTGTGGTGATTTTAATTTGTTTGTTTGTGTGTTTGTGTTTATTTGTTTGTGATTGTTTGTTTGATTGATTTGATTCATTGGTTGATTGACTGATTGATCGATCGATCGATCGATCGGTCGATCGATTGATTGTTTGTGTGTTTGTTCCGTTTTGTTTTCTTGCTTGTTTGGTTGGTTGAATGGTTGGTGCTGTTTGTTTGTTTGTTTGTTTGTTTGTTTGTTTGCCTGGTTTGTTTTTTTTTGTTGGTTTGTTTGCTTGTGCTTGTTTGTGTGGGGTAAACGAAGGATTGCAAGGCACAACACCCCTTTGATTCTTTCCCACGGGTTTCGATCGTTGCCCGCTGACGTACCTTCGAATTTCGGGGATTGCTATTTCTTGGGAATATGACTGTCTCACTCCGTGAGTTCCGTTTCGGACTGGGAAGACCATTTTAGTGGACAAACAGTTTGGACTTGTTTTTTCCCATCCAAGTGAGTAGTTGTGCAGATACAAGCTCAGTTGTTCAAAGACGACCTTTTGACCTTTTGGTTTTCCAATTTTGGTCTACTTTTAGTAGAGGTCCCAAAAGGTTAACCTTTTATTTCCAGGTCCTTTGGGCAAGTGAGCAAGTGCTTAGTGCCATCCAATTCCTTGTCGCCTGCCAGGTATCCCTGTCGCCAGCCCCAAACGGCCACCGCAAGTGCCGCGCATACGACCGCCGGCGACGCCGCAGCAGCTTGGCAGACCGCACCCAGGTGTTGAGTCCTTGCAGGTACCTTTATTCTGAGGGTGTTTGTATTACACCCTGGGATTACACCCTTGGGAAATGATCCAGAATGGTTCAAAATAACACGGCTTTATCCGGAAATGTGCTAAATGGGGTCAATACCCAGTGGGTGTATTCCCAGAGTGTAATACAAAAACCCTGAGATTTTTGGGTGGCCGGACTGCAGACCTTTGCTCCCTTCAAATCGTTTTTTTAATTTGGGTAGCTCCCAGCCGTCCCCTTGGCTTTTTAGATCCTTTTAGTGTTTAGTGGTGGTTTCCATTGAACCCACTAAAGGTTAGTCACTTTTAGCGGGGGATCTGAGGGCAGCCCAGATTGGAACGTGTTTGAAGCTGGCCCAGCCCTGGTTCCACCACCTTCTCGGGCCTTTGCAAGTGAGCGTTTTGGGGCAGATGGTGCAACGGGACCCCGCTGTGAATCAGGCGGCTGATGTTTGGGGAGGTCTGGGAAGATGTTTGGGGAGGCCCCCGTTGAAGTGTTGATTTGGCTCACCTCCTGAGTTCATGAACTTTAAACTTTTTGGGAAGACCATTTGTGTGGTAAATATAAAGTTTTGACTTTTTTTTTTTGGGCCATCTACTCAGCCAGTGAGTTGGGGACCTGTGGGTGAAGTTGCTTCGTTGGAGAGCGTTGAAGTGCCGGGAGGTCACAGACAAAGCGAAGCAGTATCTGCGCTGAGGAAGGAGGCGACAGCAAGCTCGGAGATGGCATCTTCTAGTGACAGAGGCAGGGCCATGCCGGTTTCTGGTCAGATCAACGAGCAGCATCCTATTCACATCGAAATCAGTTTAGTGTCCAGAACGCTACTTCCACTACTTGTTTTCTTTCTTTTATACGCCCGCCCCCCGCCAAGACGCATTTGATGTTTTGTGAGAGACCTGCAACATATCGTTTGGGTGGACACCCCTTTGAGTGCACTGACTGATTTTACACAAGGTCCAACCCCCCCCCCCCGCCCCCAGCAAGGGCTGGTACGGGAGAGCTTGTGTTTTGGGAACCCTGAGGCCTTGAAACACATGGCTTACAAAAGTGCCATTTGGAGAATTCCTCTTCGTGGGGGGCGTAAAACAAACGCATGTGCGATGTCAGGTGATTTCGGGGGAAAAAAGACCAAGGCTTCTCTGTTTCCCCGAAAAAAAAGGTCACGACTTCACTCGAAAAAGGCACACCCTAGGGATATCTTTTGGATACCTTCCCCGCCCAGAGTTTGGAGGCGGCAAGGTCCTTGAAGCGCTTGAAGCCATGTTCTACCTTTCTAAATATGTGTTTTTCAAGGAACTAGAAAACCTAGCTGGACGATCATTCATGCTTTCGTACTTGTCCTACTCAATTATGTTGAAGCGTCCCCATGAAATGAAGGATACTGGACCACTGTACCTAAAAAAATAATCCGCCCAAACAAGAGGTATGTAGGCAGCGTCCCTCTTGGGTATATACAAGTGACACAACGTGAGGTTGCTCAAAAGGGCATGCCAATTTTGGACCCTTGACAGGTCTTTCAAGGGACATGTTGAAGGCCCTTTCTTTGAACGGCCGGTACTTATTCAGCAACCAAAAGGAGGGGGGTTCAGCAATTTTGGCACATAGCAGCTTTCCATCTTTTCTGGGGTAGACTTAGGATACATTTTACATTTTACCAGTGACTCAAAGTGAAGCAAGCAATAAAATATACATATATCTGGGCCTAACTCTAATCATGGTAAGCCTTAGCTGGTGGGTTGGATTGGGGATTTGAACCCCTGGTTCTTGTAGCGGATAAATGGGAAACTTCCCAGAACACCTCCCCCAGGTAGCTCAAGCCGCGAAATTTTGGGTGGCCTCGCCGGCAGGAGGGCTGTCCGCAAGTCCCGGCGTGCGGCCGGGGGAGGACCTTTTGGACTTCAATGAGCCCAAGGACGCGGCTTTGTGACGTGTCTTCTTTTGATTGGCTTTACAGGGAATCCGAAAGGACAACTGACATGGCTGTGGGTCAAAACCCTGTACCCCTGGTGAGCATCAAAATAGGTGGCAAATGGATGTTCATCCACCCCAAAATAGAGCCATAGGTTATGCCCCATGGGCCACATCCACAAGAAAAGGCGGTCGTAGTTTGAGACTGCCGCCTGCCAGGGTTTTGTGACTTGTACAAAATCTGCATCCTGCATGTACATGTCCAAGAATTGGCAATGTCTATCGCATGTTCGTCATTCGATACGGGTATGCTTCGGTATGTTGTTTCTTTGACAACGTTTCCCGCTGTGAAGGTTAACAACCTGACTAGTCTGGCCCTCTCTGATTAGTAATAAGGGACGGTCCCAGCCACAAAGAGGTGCAGCTGTTCGCCCGTTTCATTCTGTGCATGGATTTTGGGTAGGCCTCTGTAGTGCCAAGTTTTGATGGCTTGAAGCGGTTCTTGAGCAAACCAAAGGAGACACTTTACTGTTCTTGGCAAGTTTTGTTGTTGTTTTTTGAGGGGGGAGGTTGGTTTCACTTTTAGCAGGGGTCTGCAAAAACACAGTTCTTGCAATTTTCTGAAGGAAAGATGCCCCTGGCGCATGAATCGCCTCCGGTCCTCCCTGCTTTGCCAGGAGCCCAGGATTTCGCGCGGGCGCTTGCCGGACCTGGCGGAGGTGCTGGCGGCGCATGCCGGGTTTACTGCGGACGCAGGCCGGGGTGGACGCGCGCGCGGGTGTCTGTGTGTGTGTGTGTGTCTTTTTTGAAGGGAAGGCAAAAGAGCAAGAATTGTTGTAAACGCCTCGCGTTGCCCGACCTCGGCCAGTCCGCTTTTGGCTCGCTTTGAGGTATATACAGTGCTTTACTTGAAGTGCTGTGTCTAAAGGAGTGAGTGAGTCGGCGCCAAATGCGTGGGCTGGTTCCCATGGCTTCCAGGGCCAGGCAGAGAGCCACCGAATGGCAGTGAGCTTGGGCCTGATTGGTTTCTGGGGGGAATTGTACCGTTCGATTGGTTTCTGGAGGGGATTTGAGAGGGGGAATTTGACCCGCTTCCGGTTTCCAGGGGTCGGGGGATTTGACTGGAGTTGGGCCGGTCTTTAGAAGGGATTTGACTGGTTTCTAGAAAAAAGCGATTGGTTTCTAGAGAGATTTGACCGGAGTTGGACCGGCTTTGACCGGGGGAGTTTGACCGGCTTATAGGGGAAATTGACCGGTCCCAGCCTGGGGCCGACCACTTCCAGGCTCGTTTTAGGCGGACTGGAGGCAGCTAGTGCGGGGATCTTGGCCAATTTCGAAGTGGGGAAGAGATTCTGAAGAAGTTCCTGGAGGGGTCTGACCGCTTCTGGGGTCTAGGAGCTTTGCCGGTGTGTCTGAAATGTGGTTCTTGCGATTGCGTCTTTGTGGGTGTGTCAACGTCAAAAGGATTTTCTCTAGATGTTGGTTCCAAACATTACGCTCAACCATCTTCACTGCAGTTTTAAAAGACATGTGCAATGGTGTTGCAGTGTTAAGAAACATGTACATTTTGTGTTTGGGCAGTTGTCCAGAAAAAAAGGGGTCTAGAAAGAGTGGGGAAGCACCCGCAAAACTACCCTTCAAAATAGGGGTAAACCCTTCTCAGGGGTCTTCCCTTCCCGCCATGTGGTCTCCCGTCCCTGCCGTTGGTTTTGTGTCCGAGTTAGGCCAAAAGCCTTGACCAGTGGAGGGCAACAGAGTAAGTGTGAGATGTGCGCGGGACCACTTCCCTTCCACAACCGAAAAGATGGAGTACTTGAACTCTCCGGGATATCAGAGCGAATGGATCTCAGAGGGTTCGTGGAATCATGCATTGGAATGTCGTGTTCTCTACAGACGCACGTCTTGCCCAAGTTGAGGTCGGCCAGACCTTTCGCCCCTTGGGGCGCATCCCAACCCAGACCATGTATATACATTTGCACGTTTTGGCAGCTCCCATCCCTGATGTTTTTGGGTTCATGGATGAGTGAACAGCTGGTTGATCAACTGGGACCCCGCAACCCATTGCAGGGATCCGGATCACTTTGGGTGAGACAATTCCCAATGAATCCTTCGACTCAGGCACGCCTATGAAGATTGTTTGCCCCCCAGCTTCCCCCGTATGACATGTGCAATACACGTGGCCATTCGCACATGTGGGTGAGTCTCAAAAAACGCGGACCCAACAATGGTGGTTTCCCTGGTCGTTACTCTATGATTCTTGTTTAAACGAACCATAACAACGCGTTTTTTTGGTCATCCTTTCAAGCAGCCCCAACAATTGTCTCAACAAAACAACAGGCCCTTTTGCTCGTTTCCTTGCGGCAGGCTCGCATCCTTCGACCTTCCGGGAGCGAAGATCAGTCTCCGACATCCCGGATGCGCCCCCGTCACGCCGGGAGCGGTGCAAATCGCGGACCTGAGGTAAACAGTAAACAGCGGAAACTGGGTTTTAGGTTTAGGTCTTTAGGCTCTTGTTCTGTACCAATGGCGGAGTAAAAAGAAGTCATTGGATGACCCGATTTGGCGTCCGAAAGTGGTATTTCGCTCAAACATTGTGTTGTTGTGGTTGTTATTGTGTCTGTGTTTATGTGTGCGCGCACGCGTTTTCTTACTGATCACGGTCATACCGCGCTAAGGGGCTAAATGATTGCACTTGTTGTTCTTATGACCATGACTTACTCATCGAAGTGGGCAGGAGGTCGTTGTCCATGAATGTCTACAGGGTTCGCTTCCAAATGGTGGCCGGTCCCATAGGAATTCAATCGGGGAACCTCGAAGATCGCCTCTCTGTTTTCCCAGCAATTGGATCGACGTTCTGCGACGCTGGCGGCGCAAGCCAAGGTTGAGCCATGAATTGGCTGAGTCGCCAAGCTTGAGGCTATTTGGGGGCAACCTTGCTTCAAACTTGTGAACTCTCAGTAGAAGCTTCTGGTAAGCTCACAGGGTCGTACTGCGGGTTCCGGCAAGGTGGGCAAGGGGGGGGTTATTTGGAGGGCACCTGCCTGTGTTTGAAGGGAAACCAAAGACAGAACACACATGATTTTGTTTGGAGGTGCTGTCATAATCAGACAAACCCAGAAATCTTAGCAAGTATATCGGTGGGCCAAAAACAATGGCCAAGGCTTCCGATTGGGAAATTCGTGGCCCGCAGGAGAGCCATCGAGACACTCGCTCCTGGCTAGAAGAGCACAAGGAGGAGGAGTGACCAGCGAATCGACCTTTTGATCTTTTGTCTTCCTCGGTTGGGTCTACTTTTTGATTGCCAGACTTAGCTTCTACATTGTTTGACATTTTGCCTTTCGGACTGTTCATGTTCCATTTCATGGAAACAATTGCCGACATTTGGACACCCATTTCATGACTTGTTTCAGTCTTTACTTCTCCCACAACCCCACTCCAATTTGTTTAGGCCCCTTTCGTGGTGTTTGTCATGAGCTTGAGAGGCTGGTGATTTTCTGGTCCTTTTGGCCGGTTGAATGGACTTCTTGGGTCCGAAACATCGGAATTCCATCTTGCCATCCACAGCCGAGAGGCCCCGCCCTGGACTTCCATTCAGCTTGAGGGTCGCCCCTTTTTTGGTTGGTTTGGGAAATTCAAAGGTGTTTCCAAAAAAGGGTAGCCCTTTTTGTGTGGCTGAAAGGGAAAATCACGAGTGGTTCGCCCTTTTTTGAGCGGCTTAAAGAGAGAGGTTGGGTGGCTCAAAGGGCATTGTCAATGGGTGGTGTTTCCAAGCAGGGTCGCCTTTTTGGGTGGCTTCAATGGTGTTTCCAAGATGCCCTTTTTGGGTGGCTCAAAGGGACTAGGTCCCCCAGTAGTGCCCTTTTACCGTTTCTCTTTTGGGGGAGGGTCCCCCTACCAAAATATAGACAAACCAGAAAAACAAAATCGGGTACCCTTATTCTATCCTCTCAAATCTGGAATACCTAGGGGAGTTGCTCGCAAATGACTAGCTCGGCCGAACGTCCAAGTAGAACAGGTGATCGATGTCTCGAGCTTCCGGGGGTTCTTTTCACTCAGCCGAGTTGTCGATGGGAAGCCATGGATGTTTCTAGGGATACCTTCCATTTCCATTCTTTCCAGGGATCCGGATCTTTCTAGAAAGCCTCCGGAAACCCAGGGAAAACGGCGATCGGTTTTGGAAAAGAGCGATGCTTGAAAATAATGGAAAAGGCGTAAACCCTAGAATGACTTGCAACCTGCAAGCTCCAAGATTCTCTCAAGGAATGAATCTCTCAGCTGGCTTGAGACAACACAGTGCTCTCCTGCAGATTGTAGAAACCCCTCCTGGATGCCCCCCTTTTATGTTCCATGTCAACTTCCAGGAATTGTCTGCAAAGCCCAGGCTTGGTCCATTAAACCATTGTCCGCTTCGATGGGTGTGAGGCTGTTTCAAAAATGGGCCCGTTTCTCCAAACGGCTGCCTTGCCGGTTGGTTTCCCTCTACGCGCATGAACAAGAGGGTTTCCCTATAAGACGATGCCAGAAAGCATCCGGCACAGCTCCGGCAAATCTCCACGGGCCGCGCCGAATGCACGATGCGCTCTTGGTGCATAACCTATCCCAGCTCCAGGATCGACGCGTCCCTCCAAAAAATGCAAGTCGCCACGGAACTCCGGATTTGCCCGAAACAAGAGCCACCCGCCCCAAGCAAACTCCCTCACTTCCTGAGTTCATGAACTTTAAACTTTTTGGGAAGACCATTTTAGTGGTAAATATAAAGTTTGGACTTTTTTGGGGCCATCCACTCGGCCAGTGAGGGACTCCACTCAAAACACAGGCCCAAAACCATCCCCTTAGGTTCGAGCCCGAGCCAGGAGAAGCTTTTGGCCCAGCTGCCGCGCTTCGAGCAGCTCCTGGACGAGCAGGAGGAGGAGGCGGACGGGGCTGGATCGATGGATCGAACCTGGCTGGTTCGTTGGTGGGTGGGTGGGTGGGTGGTGGGTGGTTGGTTGGTTGGTTGGTTGGTTGGTTGGTGGGTGGGTGGTTGGTTGGTTGGTTGGTGGGTGGGTGGTTGGTTGGTTGGTTGGTTGGTTGGTTGGTTGGTGGGTGGTTGGTTGGTTGGTTGGTTGGTTGGTTGGTGGGTGGGTGGTTGGTTGGTGGGTGGGTGGGTGGTTGGTTGGTTGGTTGGTGAGTGGGTGGTTGGCTGGTTGGTTGGTTGGTGGGTGGGTGGTTGGTTGGTTGGTTGGTGGGTGGGTGGTTGGTTGGTTGGTGGGTGGGTTGTTGGTTGGTTGGTTGGTTGGTTGGTGGGTGGGTGGTTGGTTGGTTGGTGGGTGGGTGGTTGGTTGGTTGGTTGGTGGGTGGTTGGTTGGTTGGTTGGTGGGTGGGTGGGTGGGTGGTTGGCTGGTTGGTTGGTTGGTGGGTGGGTGGTTGGTTGGTTGGTTGGTGGGTGGGTGGGTGGTTGGTTGGTGGGTGGGTGGGTGGTTGGCTGGTTGGTTGGTGGGTGGGTGGGTGGTTGGTTGGTTGGTGGGTGGTTGGTTGGTTGGTTGGTTGGTGGGTGGTTGGTTGGTTGGTTGGTGAGTGGGTGGTTGGTTGGTTGGTTGGTGGGTGGGTGGGTGGGTGGTTGGTTGGTTGGTGGGTGGGTGGTTGGTTGGTTGGTTGGTTGGTGGGTGGGTGGTTGGTTGGTTGGTTGGTTGGTTGGTGGGTGGTTGGTTGGTTGGTTGGTTGGTGGGTGGGTGGGTGGTTGGTTGGTTGGTTGGTGGGTGGGTGGGTGGGTGGTTGGTTGGTTGGTTGGTGGGTGGGTGGGTGGTTGGTTGATTGGTTGGTGGGTGGTTGGTTGGTTGGTTGGTTGGTTGGTTGGTTGGTTGGTGGGTGGGTGGTTGGTTGGTTGGTTGGTTGGTGGGTGGGTGGGTGGTTGGTTGGTTGGTGGGCGGGTGGGTGGTTGGTTGGTTGGTGGGTGGGTGGGTGGGTGGGTGGGTGAGTGGGTGGGTGGGTTGGTTGGTTGGTTGGTGGTTTGTTTGTTTGGTTGGCGGGTTGGTTGGAGCCAATCTTACCTCAGTTGTCCAAGAGGCGAATCGACCATTTAACCTGTTGGTTTCCCTGCGTTGGTCCATTTTGGTGGTACCCAAAGGTTAGCCTTTTATTTCCAGGTCCCCTTGTTCAACTGTCCCTGAGTTCGGCTTCGTCACTTTTTGGGGTTTGGCAAGGTTTTGTTTGGCCAATCCATTCGTTGGGAAGTGAGACGACCAGGCCCTGCACCCATGGGAAACAAAAGGTCGGCCGTATAAAAGAATGCGTTGAACCATTTTTAAACCAGGGGTTGGCCCAGCCCTGGCTGCAACCCCAGCGGACTTGTGGGCACTTGGACCTCCTTTGAATGCTCTGAGCTCAAAATATATTGATGTCAGTTGCTTGTGTTTCGTGGCTCCTTACTTTTTGGTTATGATTCTTGTTTTTTTTGGCGTTTATTCGGGCTCGACCCCCTTTGTGAGCATCCCGTGGAGTCCAGCCTCACCCTTTTTGCTTTGGTGGGTTCCCTGAACATGAAGCTGACCTCAACAAGGATTCCCCTTTCTACAAGGGTTTCAGCTGTTTCTTGCTCACTACGGGATCCCTACAGGATGTCCCGGTTGGGGGGGCTGGTTGTTGCTTTCTTGCTTTTTGCTTGTTTCTTTGGTGTTGAACGTTTGTGTTTTAGTTGCTTTGGTTCTTTGATGTTGACCTAGGTGTTGGGCCGTTTCATGATGTAGTTGATCTGGTTCTTGGAATTCACCACTAGCACCCAACTTCATTGGACTAGCCGTATTCCACTTCCTACTCTGCAGATATTCACACGGAACCCCAAACACTCGCATTAGGATTGTTTTTTGTTTTTTTGGGAATCGGTCTAAGGGCCAACTTGCATACCCCAAATGCACATACCCCAAAGTTGGTGGTGAAACCATGGGTTATACAGGGTACTTACCCCAAAAACCATTTCTATAATTTTACGACCGAGAGGTGTATGTCCATTTGGGGTACAATTAACAAGGAACCTGACAGGGGTCCTGGAAGATCATTTTTCTTTTAACGGGGCCCGAACGTCAGGTTCCATGTGAAAAGGGTCGGAGGGTAAGTTGGTAGTATCTAATTATAACCATAATCAAATTTGATTTTGTTCAAGTCCTTCTGATTTGTAGGTTCGGTCCACCCGGGTGCCAGGTCCCGCTGAGCTTTGCCGCCTACGAGATGGAGGAGGACGCCTTTGGGGCGGAGGAGCCAGAGGAGGAGGAGGAGGCGGAGGAGGAGGAGGAGGAGGAGGAGGCGGGGATCCCACCAGAGGTGTCGAATTGATGGGTTCGTTGGCTTGGAAATAGATGGGTTCTACTGGTTTTGGAAGGTTTTGTTTGCCCCATTCTTGGGAAGCCCAGCTATTTTTTCCAGAAGATGACACCAAGAGCGGGGGATGTGCCACGTTTGTTTTTTCTCCCCCCAACAGCTGAAAGCTTTGGGGTCTCAGGCCCAGATAGTCTCCGGGGTGGTCCGGGGCGGCCCTGAGGTAAGGTTCCACGAATGTTCCACCAGGGTTCCACGAGGTTCTGCGAGGGCTGCGGGGTGGTGCGAGCCTTAGAAAGAGCACCGCATGCTGTTGGGGATATCACCCGAGCTTCTTTTTTTTTCTGGCGCGCAGGTGGCCGAAAACGCCCTCCCCGCCCTCGGGCCAGTTAAGGTCCAGCTGCTTGGCAGTCAGGGCGTGGCGAACAAATAAAAAGCTGGGGTTGCGCAGGTTTTAGTCTACCTAGGTGCCCCAGTAGTGCTCTTTTTAACCCCTTTTTGAAGGATTCCCCTACTAAAACAGACTACAGAAAAATGGTACCCTTGTTCTAACCCCTGCTGGAGAACCCAGCTACCTGTCCATCTGCCAGGGATCCATTTTTGAGCCCTGTCTTTGAGCCACAATGTTGAATCAGGCGAGATCGTCCCGGAATTTGGCCGGGTCGTTTTTCCTTTTTCGGCGTGAAGACAAGCTACCTTACCAGGCTCCAAACAAGTATGCACGACTTCTCCCTAAGTTAACCGCACCGCTGGATTTTTTCATTGAACCTGCCAAAAGGATTGGTTGTTCTGTCCTCACGCCAGATGGCAGTGGTTTCCCTCAAATCCATAGCTGTCCCACTACCGACGGCGGATTAGGATTGCAGTGGGGTGTTCTCGCGTGCCCTGCTTTGCTGCTTGCCATTTCCACGCCATGCCACCATCCCTGTGAGATTAGGGGACCCCCTTTTTCCGCATTTTGAATGAACAACTTACTCGGGTGTTCGGCTAGCTTCCACTTGGTTCCCCCAAGTGGAGTTCACCCTGTCAGTAGTGGGTTGTTGCCCAAGTTGCTCGCAAATTGCTAACTTGGCCGAGTGTCGAAGTAGAACAGGTGATCGATGTTGGCTTCCGAGTTCTAAGTGACTCAGCTGAGGCAGGAAATTGATGAAACCGTCAAGGCGCTGGCATCACAGGAGCCACTTTTCCTAGGATCCACACCCCCAGTCGGTCGCTGGTCGCCCCTGTTTTCCCCCAAATGAGAACCCCCCCCCCATTTTGGCCGTTAAACATACGTGGAGAACAGGGAAGGGGCCTTCGGATTCTGGATCCCATAAGGTTCAGTTGGAAGCTGGTGGGGTGCATGCGAGCCCAAAGATGACCAAACCCCAATGGCAGAAAATTGGCGCAGTTTCATGTGGCTTTTGGTCTTAGCTTCTGGGTCCAACAGCTGAGCCGTTATGTCGTGGGTAGGCCCTATGGACTCAAAAAGACGGAGGCTTGAGGCTGAAAGAATCATCACCCAGGCTGGTGCTTGTTGCAAGTTTGAATGACTTCCGCTGCCTTCCAGAGCAAACCTCTCGGAGGAAATTCTCAGTTTCGGCTTCGTCGGGGCAAATTTACCCCTTCTTTACTCTGACGCTTGGCTTATCATGAGCTATGTTGAAGGGGTGTGGTGGTACAACCTTTGCAAGTTGGATCTAAAAGGACAGCTCAGAGTGTGTCTATGTGTGTGTCTGTTGAGGCTCTGCACTTCTTTCTTTCTTTTTCCTTGTTTTTTTTTTTGGGGGGGGGGGGTGGTTTTAACGGGAAACCAAAACAAAGCCACCCGTCTTGGGGGTTCCCGTCTTGGGGGTTCACGTCTTGGGATGCAAACCCGTAATATGGTCCTTGGGCTTTCGAAGTTGACCACTTTGCTGAAGCCCTTGAAGCCAGTTGAAGCCCTTTGCGGCTCTGTGGTGGACAGCATTTAGGTGGGAGACTCATCTCCACCAACCACTCTTGAGGGGGCTCCAACTCTTAAAATCCATGGCCCAATGTTCGGATTGGAGCATTTTTCAAATCGAAGACTTGAAATAAGAACTGAATCCCTCAAGTAAACCACCGACAGCATTGTGAGTTCGCTTTGTCGTCAGGTGAGCTCTCCCTAAAGTAGGCAGCCGGATCCTGAGATGTCTCGGGATTTGGATGGAGGAGCCCAGTTTTGAATCATTACACCCAAATATGTTGTGTGGTCTTGTTCGCTGACAGCTTGGTTGGTTTTCTGGTGGCAATTTTTCGGTTGGGTCCCAGAAATAGGTCATGCCGCATGCCTCAGCTTTTGCCGCACCAAACAAAAATAGGAGATCCCCGCCGGGGTCAGACATTGTGGTCGCCATTTCGGGTCACCCGGCCCCGTGGGCGGGAAACAGGGATCCTTCAAGGATGCATCCAAACACCACCTGCTTTTCAAGGATTCGGATTCTCATCAGCTGACATGTCCGTTGACATGGCTATGTTCTAAGAAGCCAGGGACCATAGACAGGAATTCCATGTTTATGGTGGGTGGTTAGGCCAATGTAGAAATTCCTGCCAGTTATGAAATATAGACTGCCTTGTATTTTGCCTTCACAAGGTTCACTATGGCTGTGCCATTTTTGTTAGGGGAACCCCATGTTGGTTGTTTTAATCAGGGACGCCAACGGGACCACCTACCGTTTGCAGTGTTGTCCCCTAAAAAAAGGGGAGAGGGGTACGCTGTGGGCCCTAGATATGACCTGATTTGTTTTTTGCAGACGCCTAAACGGGATACTTCAAGGTAAATTGACTCAACGCCCTAATGTCAACCCCGGATTAATAAACCCCTGGTTGACTAATAGGGGGGTGTCTCCTTTTAGTGGGGATTCAGACCACTTTTGGGAACACCCCCCTAATGGGACGGGTTCTACTTAGATCCTGGGTCAACACTAGGGCCCACAGCGTACCCCTCTCAAAAAGGGACACGCCAGTGGAACCAACCGCAGGATGACGACAAAGCCGCGTCCTGGGTGCCGGAGGCTCACCCTGCGGGCTGAGAAAGAAAGAGGCGGAGCGGCTGAAGCACCTTCCGAGGGCTTCTTCAGGTTTTGGGGGGTGGGGGGTGTCTCAAGAAAGCTTGGTGAGCCATCCGGCGCCTTGGGTTGTTGGCTGTTCGGTTGATGTAGTGGTTGGGTGTCCATTCAGCCCGCGAAAAGTGAACAACTGTTGCGAGGGGATCTGAAAACGGACAGCCCAGAAAGTGGGGAGAAGCGACCACAAGGTTTGTTTCAAGGCAAAGCATGGAACTGAAGAGGAGAAGCAAGCGATCACTGTTCGTTTCTTGAGACACTGCAGACAGCCCTCGTGGATGTTTGCCAGGCGACATGCTGGCATTGCTGCGCATGCGGATCTGATGTGACAGGGTACTGCCTGACTTGTGCTGTGCTACTGAAATGCGTGGGCTCAAGGTACCACATGTTCAGGTTTTGTTTGGTCCAGTGAGTGACTCCGAATTCAGACAATTTGTTACAAATCGACTCCATCCCTTCACTTCAAGAGCTAAAAAACCGTGTCACCCGCGCATTCGTTGAGACATTCTCCGCGGACGGTAAGAAGCTTCCCCGCGGGAGTCCGGGGGGGCCATGGCGGGCAGTTGGAGCCCACTTTGGCGGTGGCCTGTGATGTGCCTGGTGTGGCACTGAGAGAATCGGATCTCGCGTGCCCAAGGCGAATTAAAGGTTTTTACCCGAGTCACGATCAAAACCCGGAAAATTGGAGGGTAGTAACTAAGGACAATCCGAGCGACAAATGGCTGGGGATATCTGTCTGTTTTATTCTTTACACTGGTTTGGGCCCACCATTTAAGCAGGGTTTTTGATTGTGACTCACCTGTTGTTCTCCTTGTGTTGGTCCCATGGACCTTCGATTTCAGATTAGATATCCTGTGTTGGTTTTGGTTTCCCAATTCTGATGTTCTGGCTTCCCTGGATTTGGTTTTGGCTCGAGCTAAGTAAAAGCGACGCAAGGGAATGAGGATTTGGGCCAAAACGGCGAGCCGTTCTTTGCTCTCTTTTTTTACCAAATACTCATACAGCTCACCTTCTGATTAGGTTCGTCAAGGAGATGGTTCCAGGTATGAGCCGTGCCTTCAGTAGGGAGTGAATAGAGGTTTCGTTGGAATTAAGCGTTTGAGATCACAGAAAATGGTTGACGAAGTTGGTGGCCATTGTCGCAATAAAGGGTTGAAAGGTTGAAAGATTGGGGGTTGCCCACCCGGGGTGAAAGGTTGAGGGAAAGCCACCAGTAGGGTTTAGGGGGCGCTCCCTCCCTATGCAACCTGCAAGTAGCTCAATTGCGTTTCTGGACCAACTTGGGAATCGGCGAGGCCACAAGTCTTGGGTTTTTTTGCCACTCCAGGAAGCGAGCTTCGGTACACTTGGGAGGTCAAAGCGTGCTAGGTGCGTGATGAAACTCACATCGCTATGAACTCCAAGAGGGATCCACCTTACAAGTGCTTGGTGAAAATCAATCCCGACCCAGAAGATGTCTGGCAAAGGGTCCCCTTGTAACATGTATGACCCTTTTGGTTCGCCGTCCTTGCGATGCCGCTTCAAGCCGTGCGAGGCAGTCGCCGCGTTTTGGCCATCAAAGGCATTCTTGACACCCAGGCGGGCTCAGCTTCGATTCAGCTCGGAGAGTTGGATCTGCACTGAGAGAGGTCTTATGGTCTCAGTTGTTCAGTGGCACCAAAATTTTCTTCCAACCTTTTTTTTGTTGGTGGCCCCACTAAAAATGGTCTCCCCAAAACAGGGTTCCCCTTTTTTTTTGCAGGGTCACTGAACAACTGAGTGGTTTTCCCTCCCAGTGCTTCCAGTTAAACAGGTAAAGGG